TAAGAAAAGCTTGGGAACGCCGTGGTGAAGGTTGAATGCCACACCGTTTGGTCGCAGGGAGATGAGGTGATGGGAGAACAGACGACCTGGGACAAATGAGTGTGGGTAAATTTCTCGGTCTGTTTCAATGTCCTCGAGTAAGGTGCCTGCTTGCCATGTGCCTAATCCAATGCTGAGGCACGCTGCAACACCCAACACCCGCGACAGACAAGTCGTGATCGCCCATGAACACTGAACAAAACAGCAAGTCAACAGCGTCGCCAGAGTCACCGGTGGTTCGGACGGAATGAACCCTGCTTCCTGTCCGTTGGAAGCTTTCTCCCCTCCCCAAAGCAGCCGAGAGATCTAAAGGCCTTCCCAGTTCGTCCGTTTTCTGAAGCACCTCAGGTTCATTACCTTTTTGCTGTCTGGGTAGGTAAGATACCTACCTACCTGTACCTACCTTACCTAGCTGCCTAGGTAGGTAGGTACGAGGTACCTTGGCCCAAGATAGGCAGGCAGCCACGTTTTCGAAGCACCTTCCCTTCTGCGAGAATATCTCCTTTTTCTACGCCTTGTAGATAGAGGCAGCAAGTGGAGAGGCAGGCGCGCTTTCCCCGCGAGCTGTTTGGCCTCGTCTGGCAATCATCTATCTCAACCATGCCTTTTGCTTCTGCCGTCTTCCATCTTGACTTGACCATCCTTCTGGTCATTTCACCTCTTCTCGCACTCACTCTCTCCCTGAAACCCTGACATGCATGCTATGCTGACTTACGACTGCCGACGCGCCATCGCTCTGTTGACCCCGCGGCTACGGTGACAAATCTTGCCATTAATTAGCAAGCAGATTCAATTCTGTAGAATACACAGCCTACGCAAATTGCACGCCGGTTAACCGTCGTGTATGAGGCACTGTTCCAATCGCTGTTCTACGCCGGGCCGGAGCCACTCCGGTGCGCCGGTCTTGTCAACGGTCCCGCCCCTACGAGTTGACCACCCGTCTCCGCCGTTTGTCGATTCGCAGCGACACTGGCACTGGCGGCACTCTGGCATGCGAGGCAAAAGTGTCTGAATTGTTGGTACGTACCGGCGTCTTCCTTTTCCCGCTGTCTCCGGAACTTGTATGGAGATCATCAGCCTGACAAGTCTGCATGGATACGGGGTGCTCTACGGATACATACCTAGTTGGGCGACCCCTCTCTAGATGGTGTACAAGTACACCCCCCCTTGACCAGCATCGCATCCCTTTCTCACTACTAAGAATCCAACCAGATGGTTACGGGCTCGCGGCTCCACGCTAGACAGGACTCAGCCACGGCTAATCGACGACGACATCGACATTGACGTGTGTGCCCCACACCGGAATACGGCTTCTTTTCAACCCCTGAACGCTCCATATACTGTGACAAGCACACTACTATGCAATGCCCGGAGGCGGTGTCCTGCAGGCAACCATTGGCCAGTAGGATGGGATGAATCAACAGGTTCCATCGTCGTCTGAGAAGAGTTGTAGGCTACTTTTTTTTTCCTGGGTAGACATAAACCAGCCGTTGTACGGGATTCAAAGTTGGCCCCGCCGTTGAGGAAAACGCGAGACATGGGAAATCGCCGTTCGGGCAACGACGTTATCTCGGAGGTTGGTGTTCGTGGTGTTCTTCTTGCTCGGACCTCCGGGACAAAGGCTGAGAGAGATCATCAACACCCATTCGGAGGAGGGAGTTACATGACGCTACGCTGCGACGTGGGTGACAACACACGACATGAGGCGGCATAACGACGCTTGCCAGGTGGGCAGGCATGCCCGCCCTATTATGTACTCTCGGAGGCCAAGCTAGGGATACTACACGGAGACTGCCGACGCTGAGAGCTGTTTACCCGCGGTTCATGGCATGGGATGCATGCTTCCTTCAGTCCTCGCATACCATCTTCCGACTCGTCCGCCTTGTTTGCCCGGCTCTTGCGCTGCATGGCGCTGCTCCTGCATTGCATCACGTCCAAAAGAAGCCCTGAAGCGAGCGCATTGGCGTTTTCCTGTGCCCGCCAGGCTTATTCCTCGCAATCATGATCATGGACGCGTGGCAGAAATGGCAATGACCAAACCCGCAATCGCGTCCATTTCCAATCCACACCGCTGGCTATCGATGCGGACTACCTATCGGTGTCCTCCTTTTTGACAGCGTCTCTCTCCTCATCAGCTTTCCTTCCTTTTCCGTTGCCTATTTGGCATGTAAATTTACACCATGTCGACATTCGGCCCGTAAGGCTTCGCTAAGGGAGCGGGGGTTGTGCCATTCCTTGTCGCCCGATGCAAAAAACTCATCTGCCTTTTTCCCAATTCCATGCAGCCCAGTCCGGATGATAGCTAGACAAGGACGTAGCCGATCCGTCAGCACTTCAAACCCCGGCCCATAGTGGAGGACGATCCCGCACACGCTACGCCAGTGTGTTGTTGGTCCCATGCGCTTGCAATGTCTGTCTAAGGCACTAGCAAGTCGCTCGAGGGGCCAAGCAGGATGCACTAAGCATGTGCAAGTGCAAGCACAATAGCTCAATTATCTTAGGCGCTTGCTTGTTCGGGAAATGTTGGACAGGGAAGGGGTCCTTATGAATGTAGTACGGTGGGTAGGTAGAATCGCGACAGAGTTCGAGATTTATGGGTGGTACATAAAACGGTACCCCAGCGAAGGGTAGGGTAGAGTTGAGTACAGGTATCCGTATCTACGGACCAGAAAGTAAAGGGGACCCACAAAACCAGCGCCGCTCATGTACCCCCGTACTGTACGGGAGTGAGAAGTACATTGCATCATTCTAGTGCTAGTGCCATGGACGCGATACTGCGTAGGTTCCGTAATTCGTGTGTATTATTGACACCCCATGGGTAGGGGGGAAAATGAAGACAGTTCGGTCTAAGCAAACCATTTCTTTCTTTCTTTTTCTTCTCCCTCCCTTGCCCGTTGAATAACACACAGCACGACGACGCCGGCCAACAGATGAATAGGGGTTGCCAACAGCAGGAGGAAACAGAGGGAGTGTCTGTCAGTTGGCAACAGGCAATAATAACAACCGGCATTCGGGGAAGTCAATGTGATTTTAATCCAATCAATCCAAATCACGGCCACTCCAGCGCAAACCCACTTTGGGCCCCGATTGCTTGCCATCCCATCCCATCCTATCGTATCGCCAGTACGGGATACAGTATCTCGTCCCATCCATCCCCTCCCATCTCCCAACGCTCCTCTCTGTCACTCCCTCTCCCGCGCTGCTGTCCAGCCCAGTGTACGTGTCTAATTGCCCGTTCCATCCCATTCAACCCGTCGTATCCCATCTCTCCTCCCACCTCTCATGGAACACCTAGACAGCTGGAGGTGAGCCTTTTGCTCTCCAAGTGTTCCATTCTATTTGGGTGTCGGCTGTCTCAGAGACTTTTTGTGAGGTCCTCCCCCTTTGCTGGCGCCTACCTGTGTACACCAAGTACCTTGGGTTGGTAGTGTACATTCGCGCTACACGTCCGCCATCCATCCATTACCCCTGTCCCTTCCTTTCCTTTCCAAGCTCTCCTGCCTTCTGCAGCCGCCGCCCACCACCCCGTCCCCAAATTCACCACTGCACACAGCCATTGTTGGATACGGTACATGCTCCGGCTGTTACTGCGTGATTCTATCTGCTCTCCCCCCCCCGTCCGTCCCATCTCATCCCAAATGTCTCCGTCTCGTACCCTTCCTTCCCTTCTTCGTTCCCTCATGCCTAATCCATACCTTGCATCTTACCTGCCTGCGGACTTGGACCAGCTGGTAACCGCAGAAGAGTCAAGTCCTGAAACACACCACACCTCTTCCTCTCTCTCTCTCTCTCTCTCTCTCTCTCTCTCTCTCTCTCTCTCTCTCTCTCTCTCTCACACCACACCACACCACACCACACGCCTCCTCTCCCGTCACCCTCCTCACCTTTCACACCACACCGTACTGCCTGAGGTACCGGATCTGCTACCGGTACTTGGTACCTACCTACCTTGACCCTACCTTGCCTACTTTTAGATGCCTCGTCCAGCCATTGCCGCTCCCCACCATTTTGGCTTACTATCCTTCTATCATCCGTCTCCCTTTACCCTCTTCCCCCGATCTCTTTTTGTTTTTCGCACGAGCGAAACTGTGTTTGTCCTACAGAACATCAGACAACACATCCCAACCTGTCTCCTTTTTTTCTTGTAATCATAAAACTCGTCATCTCGTTTGACGATCACGCCCTCTCTCTCACACCCCCCATTGCTGTTCACCGAGGACGACCGGCCTACGAAACACACCTCCTTGGTCAGCCAATCCATTCGTTACATAGACAGAACCTGCTTGCGAATTCCTTTCCGACAAGCCTTCGCAAAGTACCTCGCATCACTTGGTCATTCGTTGCATTGGCTTGGAACTGCTGCCTCCTGTTACCGCTGTTGCTGCTTTCTCCTGCATCGTCTTGTCGTTTCCCCAGGGCTTACCAATTAGCCCACTTCAGCTCGACCGCTCACCCGCCGCGACTCAACTAGCGATTACAGGCGTCACATTTGTCAAATCTGCTGCGTCAAGAGAAGCCTCAGGTGCCCGACCCTGCGCCACCAGGCCTAGAGAAAGGGAAGAAAGGAGCCCACCCGTCGCCGAATCGCTTCATTTCCTCGTCGTCCCAAACCCGCCCCCCGATACGCTTGCCAGCATCGAATGGGTCTGACGCCGAACGCACCCACAGACACGCCCACCTGCCTATCTGCTGCCGCCAAGTAGGTGACTTGGAACAGTGTCGAAGAAAAGAAAAGAAGGCAGAAGCAACGCCAGCGAGGTGCACTCGCGCAATACACATATTTGGGTCGCTACCATCACAAGCGGCACCATTGCACGAAGCCACTGACGGCGGCTGTTTCCAGTCGCGTCGTTGTGCAAGGCCCTGAGCCATCTGCGTGGTTGTGACAGCTAGAGGTGTACAGAGGGTACAGCAGGCGGATCACTCGGCCAGCCCACCACTAATCCACAATTGGGCCCATCATGGCACCCATGACGCCCCGGCTCAAGATCCTCTCAGGTGCGTCTCTTTTCTTCCAGGCTTCCAGGCTTCCCGCCCGCTCCAATAACTGTTTCTTCTTCTTGCATCAGCGACGGTGTGGATCGGGATTTTGTGTTCCTTTATCTCTATCCGTCAGCCCGGCTTTTCTCCCCCCCATCATACCTTTCCCATCACAGACCATACTCGTTTTCCTCCCCTCTCTTTCCCCCCTCCCCCATCTCTCTCTATCTCTCTCCCTCCCTCTCACTCCGTACACGGACCGGTGCTCTTGCATCGTGCCGAGTGCATTCCGGCATGGCGGACGACAGCGGACTAATGAAGACGTGTTTAGTTGGAGGAAACCCAGTTTCGGCTTTCCTGTCGTGGAGATTACAAGCGACCAATGCCTGCGACGTTACACTGGTGTGGAAGTCGGGATTCGATCACGTCGCGCAATACGGCATATCTTTCAAGTACGCTGCCACTCCCTTCCCGGCAACTCGCCTTCCCGCCTCTAATCAAGAAATCCTTAGGTCTCCCGTGTTCGGTAATGAACGGTTTAAGCCGCGGCATGGTAAGTCTGTTGGCGTTCTCTGACAATGATTGGGAATGCCTCTCGCTAACTTTTATGCCTTTCAGTCGTACGCGTTCCCGAGGAAGCCGCGCAAGGCGGCGGTCCCTTCGACTACGTGATTCTTTGCATCAAGGCCCTCCCCGATGTCTACGACCTCGCTGCCGTAATCGATGCCGTAGTTACGCCTCAGCACACGTGTATTCTCATCAACACAACCCACACCCTAGGCGTCGAGGCTGCCATCGAAGAGCGGTTTCCTACCAACGTTGTTCTCTCCTTGGTTTCCAACGCCGAACTCTCTCAGCTTGGCCAGAGCGAATTCGAACACAAGGGCTCAACTGAGATCTGGGTTGGGCCTTCGAGCAAGAATGATAACATTCCAAGTACTATCCAGGGCGACATGGCCGAGGCGCTGGCCATGACACTGAATACTGCTCAAGTTGACTGCAAGGTTTCCCGGAATATCCGCCAGCAGCAATACGAGCGGGTCATTGGGTGAGTGAACCACGTGTGCATCTCTAACCTGGAAGCATTACTGACTTGAACCAGGCCCATTGCATTCCACCCCGCCAGCATCATATTCGAGACGGCGAGCCATGCACAACTACTCGAAAAGATTGGAGTACGAGACTTGGTAACCGGCGTAATTGACGAGTTGCTGGCCTTGGCGGATGCACATGGGTGCAAGTTATCTCCCGACTTCAAACAGAAGACGATTGACGACATGACGAAGCCCACAAACCAAGAGAGTATTATGTGGCAGGATTACATTGCGAAACGACCGATGGAAGTTGAGACGTATTTGGGCTCCCCGATAAAGTTGGCTAAGGAGGTCCGCGTTGCTGTTCCTCGCATCGAAACTCTTTACGCCATCCTGCATAACCTGAATATTGTCAACCGTCAAAAACCTCCCAAGCCTGCCGATGTCGCCATGGGTCCTCCTGGCTCGCCGACAGGCCTTCCGAGAATGTCATCTGCCAATGGTGCCCGACCAGGCATGAACGGCAACGGCATGCCTCCCAACCGGGGAGCGCGCTCGCGGACTTCGTCCAACCTCGGCCCAGGACCCGGGCCCGGCATGCGCCGGCCGCCGATGAATGGCGGCCCGCCTAACGGTCATCCTCGTGGCCCTCCCCCCCCTGGGTCTCGGGCGGCCTCGAGACGTGGTTCTTTGGAAGGGAACGACCTGGAAGAATTTTCACACCTTATGCTCTACGACGACATTCCTGAAGGCGACGAGCCTGGCTATGCCCATGGCCCTGAGAGCTCCGATTTGGCGATTCGCGAACGGGAACTGGAGTTGCGCCAACGAGAGCTGGCGATGAGGGAGCGAGAGATGCGGATGAGATCGAGGGGTCCGCCGCCCTCGGGAGCCAGAAGAGGCCCGCACCCAATGCGCAACAGTGCGCAGGTCTTCGATGAGGATGATGACGACGATGATTATTTCGACCCGAACTCCGGCCCTCCCCCTCCAATGATCGACCCAGACAACTTCGACATGATGAGCGTTACGTCCAGGAAGAACCGGAAAGCAGCGCCGCCGCCCACGCGTGCCCAGTACCACAAGAACGAAATATACGACGCAGGAGGAGCGCCCGTGACCAAGACCTCTCGGTTCCGCCCCAACTTTGGGCGCAATCGATCGAGCCAGATTGCTAGTATCCCTGTCGCGAACGAAAATATCCTGGACGATCCCCTTTTCTCTTACTCGTCGAACCGATATGGCGCTGTTGACCGTGGCGCGATGCAAGCGGGCTCGAGAGCGAACTCTCTGACTGCCTCGCGGATGGACGACATGCAGCTGGGCGCCGGTCCTATGGGCATGGGCATGAATGGGGCATTCCCGCGGCGAGCTAGTCAGTCCCCCGGAAACCCGTACAGTCCTTCCATTCGAGGTGGCGGCGGCCGACCGTCACCGCCCAATGGCTACCACGGCCCTCCCATGAACGGTCGTCCATCGCCTCCTGACGGCATGCGTCAACCCGTGCCCCGATACCCTCCCGGCCATGGTAACGCAGTTGCGCCACAGCAGGTTGAGCAGCACATCGGGGTGAGCGGTCTTGTTTCTCCACCCAAACAGAAGAATATGAGAAGTCTGACTGGTAGTGCGAGCGCCAGCGCGGCTAGTGGTGACTCACAGAACGATACAGAGCCCTCGGCCCACAGCAGCCAGAGCAGCCTCGGACAAAGGCCGCCCATAGGAGTGCGTTAAACTCAGTCACTGGGATTGCTGCAATCGCTACGTTGCAATGACGATGGCACCGCCGGCGATGCGGAACGGCATCGACCCGCGATAGTCGATTTCGGATCGAAGCGAGGACGAGTACGAGAACCAGTCCTTCCGACACGTTGGGCAGTCCACGAATGTCATGACGCAATCCTGGATTCTCAGAACACGATTCCATATGGACTCCTCACATATTGTTCCGCGGCAACACGATTACGAAATGAAACGCTAGACAGGGTTTGACCTATTCTCGACAACACACAGCTAATTCAACGACCTTTCCTTTTTCTTTTTCTTTTTTCTTCTTCTTCTTCTCCTTTCTATCCGAGTGGACGTTAGTCCAGTAAATACATACGGCGTCGTAGCGATGAGAGCAGATTCTTCTCGACTTCTGGTAATAGCAGCATTGGCTTGGGCGACCTCTGTTTTCTCTCCCGATAAGAGAACCCACAACTGGGGTTGGAAAGTAGACGATTTTGCCGAAAGATTGGCGTCTCGGTTCGCTCGGGCATGTCTATGGCACAGGGCTCGGTCGGATTTGGACGGTAGGCGTGGTTATTCAACGTTCCTTGGCCATATCGGGCGAAGCTGGAAGTTGGATGTGTATAAAAGTGGATCGCCTAGCACGGCCTTTTTTCTTTTGTGTCTTTCCTCTACGACCGAACAACATTTTTATTTTAGGCCGAGTCACAAGAACGGCTACGTTGAAGGGATATCAAGTAACGAGCATAGACAGGAGCCGGAGGAGACTAATCCGGCAATACAAAGATGGGCAAGGTTACTGCATGGTCGTGGACGACGACGAGGGCTCATGCTCGGACCGCGAAAGTGTTTTTACAGACAGGGAATTTTGGCTTTCGATAATTTTAGTTTCCTGACGACGAGTGAAGGGCCGCAAGGAGCGACCTGGACGGGGTTGAGGAGAAGGGAAACGAGTAAAAGTTGGAAGGGATAGGCAAGTAGGCAGCCCCTTAGGGCGTTCAATTGAACGCAATGGAAGTCAGACGCGCATACAAAACTCGATTTTGAAACTTGTGACTTTTTCGGTTCCTGCGTGGAAGTGGCTGGGCGCCCCTTTCCATGCATCAGGCGAGAGTTTGGCTTCAGAATAAGCAGCGCCGGGTGGCAGGGATGTGACACGCAGGCTTTGAGCATTCTGAGAGCAGCCTCGCGGCCCGCTGGGCCGGCCTCAGCTTGCGTCAGGCTTGCCTGGGGCTTGATTGGGCGTAACTGATGAGACACCGGCATGATATTAAACCAGTTAAACCGGTTGATGCTGATCCTAAACCCCTTTCTTTGACTCAGCCAAGCCCTCGTGTGTGTGTGTGTGCGTATGTAAGCGGCGCCGTCCCAACGGCGCTGGAGGGGTAATGATGATTGATGGATGGTTGGAAGGCACATCCAGTCAGCCAAGTCTGATAGACCACCAGTACGTGGATATTCTGATAAACTCAGGGGAACGATGGCCGGCGCAAGGAAACAGACATACGAGTCAGATGACTTGGAGATCCGGAGGCGGAAAGTGTCTTGAACGTGGGGGTGGCAACGCATGTCTCGGCTTATGCGGTAGCTGATGGCTGCAGGTGCCATCCGACATAGGTAGCTGACGTCTGTTCCCGCAAACTTATTCCGTATGTTATTAATGGCAGGTGGGGGAGGGGGAGGGTTTTCCGAAATCCGATGGCAGAGGTCTCGCACAGACTCTCGGCTCCCCAGGTGGCTCTTGGCTGGCAGCTGGCAGGTGCCTCGCGCTGATGATGCCCGGGCGAATCAGACGTCCATCATTCTTGTTTACCTTTTGGCGGAACCCCACTTCCGTCAACGACAATCCAAGAAGCAACAACAACAACAACAACAAAAAATCAAAACGGAAGAGAGAGGGAGAGAGAGAAAGAGCCCGCCGCGTGAATAGGAACAAACGGGAGGCGTTTAGTAAGGGAGCCCGAAAATTAGAGGAAAGACGGAAATCCTGCCCGGGCTGACGATACCGAGCCCGTCTGGCAACCGCATGAATAACTGTTTTATGAAGGAAAGACAGTGAGAGAGAGGGAGAGATTCAGATATATCGGCCAGAGTTGAGGCTCTGTTTTTGCTATTTCATTCCCCTTCCGCTGCTTTGCTCACGTTGACACCACGCAGTTTGGCGAGTGAGTGGTCCTCCGCCTTTTGCGCGCATACACACATACACCCTCCTCTACCCCTCTTCACATGTTCCCCTGTTGGAACTGACGTCTCACGATAGATCATCTAGTCTTGTCATCTCTTCCATCTCTGGGAAAGAACACGATTGAGAACGATATAAAGAGAGAGCGAGAGAGAGATAAAGCAGCAAGATGGCCTCGCGCAACATCAACATGACGCACACGGCGAGGCCGTCCATGTCTTCCAGCTCAGGCAACGCGACGAAAGCGCGGCAGTTGGTGAGTCTCCCCTCCCGGTGCCCTGAAATGGCGGTTGTATTTGTTGCACCATTCCTTTTGCCCCCCACTGTCGGTTGTCATGGGTTGAGACCTCCACGGAGGAGTGCTGGGAGGCGATGAGGATATGATGAGGACGGCCGTCAACGGCACGGTGTGAAGATGGCGTTTGCTGACATGCGACCCGAACCCGTTCCTCAGACGCACCTCCATTCGCAGCTTGCCCAGCTGTCGGCTAACCTTGCCGACACGGAGAACCTAGTTCGTATGACGAGTGTGCAGGCCGAGAGCATGCGGGGCCTCGGCGCGTGGCACGGGGGAATGTGAGTATTTCTGTTCCTACTCTGCCGAGGGGGGCTGTGTCTTGTTTCCCGTCCGCTGACGTTGGTTGACAGGTTCATGGCCGCGAGCAAGGTCCTCGGAGAGGAGGCGATCAACCGCGACGCGGCGGCGCAGGCTAGGGGGGGACAGAGATGAGCGGGTGTTTGTGTGTTCTGATGAACTTCGCGGGGTGGGCGCGGTTTCCTGCTTTCCTATAGCCGTGGAAAGCATGCTGGTTACGGGGGAGGGGCATGTCGGTGAAAATTTCAAGCCAGCACGAGACGGCAAGGCGGTATTCACCAACACGAGTAACAAGGCTTCGCCCAGGCTGTGCCGCAAATGGCCTCGCTTGAGGCTGGCCATCCTGATGTCGGATGGAGGCGTTGATGGATAGCAGGGATAGGAGCACTTGGCGGGCGTATTGTGGGGAGATGTACTCTGCAACCCGATGCTTTTGCTGCACCTTTCTGGAAGTTTCAAGTATGATTCGAGCCCACCGAAGAATCGAGGTATTCTCGCGCTCAGCTTGTACGACGGAAAGCCGCAACCGATACGGCAATGATCATGTTGCTGTTCGCTCACGTTGTTCTTGTCCGCGCACTGTTTTATGCTGTCTCGTTCCAAGTACAGAATGGTGCGAGTCAAAGGGGGACTTTTGTAATCAGTGACTAGTCCGAGGTAGGATGCTACTATTGCGCTGCGCCTCAGGTGAGGCAGCAATGGGAAATTGGCCTTGATCAGCATGTCGGAGGAGATGCCTGGTTCGGGCTTGTGTGACTGAGCCCTGTGGATTCCCACCAAGGAAACGTAATGTGTCGAGGGGGGGTGCTCAAGTAATCGAACGGGCCCGGCACCGACCTAGAAAGCTCAGCAGCCACAGCGAGTTTGAATTATGGGTCCCCGAGCCGATCCGGAGCTGAGACCGGGCCCGGCGAAATGCCCGGTAAAGACTTCTACTCATACTTCAGTCGCGTTGGCGCCGAGAGGCGATGTGTCCTCCAGATCTCTGCGCCTGCCTGATTGTGCAAATTCGCATTAGCATGGGCGCCGGTACTCGTTTAGGCAGAGTACCGTATTTGCACCCAGCCTGTTGACTGAGTCGGTAGTAGGTACGGTACGGCCGCCTGCGCCAACAGGCACAGCATGTAGATGGGTCGCTTTTATTACCACGTGCATCCTACCCCTTTCTGTTTAGATGACGGCCTTCTCGCCTCTAAGTTCTTGTCGGATTTTCAGCGCCTCGACGAACTACCTTCAAACGACACATTCTCCAGCTTTTGCTGCTGCGAACAACCATGTCAGATCCTTTATCTGTGACCGGAAGCGTTGTGGGGATCATATCCCTAGGTCTCCAGGTAACACAATCACTATACAACTACTACACTGCTATCAATGCCCAATACTCAGACGTTACCCACACGGCGCGCAAACTGAAGGACTTGCTGGAGATACTCAACTGCCTACAAACCCACCTCAGTGGCCGCGTCAAGGTCGACGGAACGCATGTGCTCAAGAACATCGAGTCTAATATCAGGCAGTGCGAAGAGTACATCCAGGAACTCCAGGAGGAGTCTCGCAAGTTTGAACGGGAGCCGGTGGATGGTATTCGGACCGCGATTCGAGCCACAGGCCGCCGACTCGCGTACCCTTTCCGGGAAAGTACGCTGAAGAAGCTGGACGAAGACATTGATGAGCTGGTCATTCATCTGTCACTGGCCCTGCAGCTCTTACAGCAAGACGTTACCGACCGCATGCAGGATGAGATCGAGGATACGAGAGCGGTCCTGAACTTGGTCAGGGCTTCTCAGCTCTCCTCTGAGATACGAAATTGGCTCAAGGCACCCGATGCTTCCATCGACTTCAACGATGCTTGTAATAAGAAGAACCCGGGCACTGGTTTGTGGTTCATCAAGAGCCCCTCCTTCGTCTCCTGGCTCGAGCATCCCAGATCCTTCTTTTGGTTGAAGGGGTTCGCCGGGTGTGGGAAATCCGTCTTATGCTCCACAGCGATCCAACATGCCTTTCGACATCGAAGGTTCAACCCAAAAGTAGGCATTGCCTTCTTTTCCTTCACCTTCGCGGACGAGGGAGAAAAAGATACCTCTGCGATGATACGGGCGCTCCTGCTGCAGCTGTCAAGCCAGCTGGGCGTCACAAACACCGCTCTCGCACGATTATACGAAAGACATCGCACCACCACGCCATCGGACCAGGCCTTTCTAGGGTGCCTCCGCCAGCTTGTTCGTGATTTCCTGGATATATATATCGCGATCGATGCGCTGGGTGAAAGCCCGCGGGAAAAACATCGAGATGCGATGCTTCAAGCACTGAGCGACATCCGCGCTTGGCAAGAGCCAGGGCTGCACATTCTCGTAACGAGTCGGGACGAAATCGACATCCGTGACGCGCTTGGAGCCATGCCAGAAGAGGTCGTGGTCATGAAGAATGACGGCATAGGCAAGGACATAGCGAGCTTCGTTTCGCAACACCTCCGAGATAACCGACGTCTTCGAAAGTGGCAGAAACACTATGCTAGAATAGAGCAGGTGCTGACCGAGAAGGCGAATGGAGTGCAAGTTTCCCATCATCAACCCGCTTCACATTCGCTAATATCACCACAGGTTTCGGTGGGTGGAATGCCAACTGAAAGCGCTTGCCAATTGCCTACGAAGCGAGTATCACCTCGAGCAACTACTCCAATCGCTGCCACAGACGTTGGACGAGACCTACGAACGCATGCTACGAAACATTCCAATAGAATCCAAGAAATATGCTCGACAGATGCTGGCGATTCTCTGCTGTGCCGTAAGGCCACTGACTGTCCCGGAGCTCATCGATGCCATGGCCGTCGAAGTTGGCGCCGCCACGGCCAGCTTCGATGCGAAGCGTAAACTTGAGGGCATCGACGACTTTCAACAATTATGTCCGGGTTTTACGGAAATTGGTTGGGGACGTTACTCGAAGATAGCCAATTTGCATATTGCCCATTTTTCTGTTCAGGAATATCTCGAGTCGGAAGGGATTCACACCCAAAAGGAGGCCTCATTTTTCGGCGTCCAGAGACGAGAAGGCAATGGATTGATGGCCATCATATGTCTAACGCTGCTATTGGAACCACAAGTTTCCATTATGAAGCCTTCACTCGTCCGATGTCAGTATCCGCTTGCGGACTACGCTGCCGAACAGTGGCCTCGCCACTATCGGGAGTGCGTCCAAGAAGGGTTAGCTGAAACGCAGGTCATCCGACTATTTCTCGAAGAGCCCGCGTTTCAGGCTTGGGTTTCCATCTATTTCGCTGCATATCTTTGGGGAAGGAATGTGGCAACGCCAAGCCCCTTATATCATGCGTCAAAACTCGGATTATACTCTACACTGCGTGCTCATTTGGAAGACAAGTCTCTCTCTTACAGCCTTGATACTGCAGGCGGAGAACTGGGAACAGCAATCGAAACAGCGGCATATAATGGCCACCAGCATATCGTGCAGCTTCTCCTCGGATACGGGGTTGATCCTAATCGCGTAGATCGAGATGGATGTGCACTAATACACAAGGCATCAGATCGAGGCTACACTGGGGTGGTTAAGCTTCTCCTTAAGAACGGGGCTAATGTCAATCTCGCATGTCAGTTTGGATGTACACCAATATACATGGCATCAGAACGAGGCCACACTGAGGTGGTTAAGCTGCTCCTTGAGGATGGGGCTGATGCTGCTATTGTGGGTCTATGTGGATGCACGCCAATATATGAAGCATCAGTTCGAGGCCACAATGAGGTGGTTAAGCTGCTCCTCAAGAACAGGGCTGATCTTAATCTCATAGGTCGACATGGATGGACACTAATATACATGGCATCAACTCGAGACGACACTGAGATGGTTAAGCTGCTCCTTAAGAATGGGGCTGTTGTTAATATCAGAGGTCGACCTCGCTGGTGGCTATTGATAACTATTGTATCAGCTCGAGGCTTCGGCGAGATGGCTAAGCTGCTGCTTGAGAATAGTGCTGATGGTGCCATTGAGGATCAAGATGGATAGACGCCAATGGATAATGCAGTACGTCGAGGCGACACTGAGGTGGTTAAGCTGCTCCTGCAACCCCCCAGATGTCAACATCAATAGACCAGACAATTACTCTCGCTACCTCTGTTTGCAGCATCTGAATAGAGCCCTTGGAGAAGCACACTGAATTGACTTGACCATCATATTCACGAAAGCGCCCCCATCGAAGTAATCTATGTCGAATCTGTTCACGATTGGCATGGGTGCGATGCTTTCGATATCCTGTATGCCGAGGAGGTGTTGTTAAAGATGGTGCGTTGTCTGTATAGGTGGCCTTTAGGTGTCCGGACAAGATCCATACAATCAATGTTGTAGTCAATCGAAATAGTGAGTCTATATTACTCAAGAAGCTCCTATCATAGCCTAGCCATTTTACTAACACATCAATAACCTAGCAAAGAAATGGCTGCATGGTAGGCCAGAAATAGAAATAAATCAGGGCCAGCACAAGCCCAACAGAAAGAACGGCGACCTCCTCGGACCCAAAATGGTAGCCGTAACGCACGCTGTCGAGCTTCTTGTTCCCGGGCGACTGGCTCTGCGGCTTCAGGATGCCGTCGAACCCCCTGGCCCACGGCACCTGCAGGCCGCGGTCGTCGAGGATCTGCTCGGCGGTGATCTTGGCGCCCGCCATGACGATGGGCACGCCGGTGCCGGGGTGGGTGCTGGCGCCGACGAAGTAGGCGTCCTCGAGGCCCTCGGCGCGGGTCCGCGGGCGGAAGGCGAGGACGTTGAAGATGCCGTGCGTCAGGCCCAGGATGGCGCCCTTGTCGAGGTTGAACTTGTCCTCCCACGTCAGGGGCGTGTTGACGGTCTCGTGGGTGATGAAGTCGCTCAGCGGCGCGCAGCCCGTCCTTGCGCTGACGATTTCGATGACGGCGGCGCGGGCGCGGGCTACGATGTCGTCCCAGTGTTTCGGGTCGGTCGTCAGCCCGGACTCGCCCTTGGACTCGGCGAGGTGGCCGACGGGGACAAGGACGATGACGGTGTCCTTACCCTCGGGTGCGGCCGAGGTGTCCACCCGGCTGGGGACGTTGACGTAGAAGCTGGGCTGGTCGGGGAGGGAGTGGCGCTTGAAGATGGCGTCGAAGGACTCGCGGTACTCTTCGGCGAGGAAGATGTTGTGGACGGAGAGCTCGGGGATCTTGCGGTCCATGCACCAGTAGAAGGAGATGGAGCTGCAGCTGGCCTCGCGCTTTCGGAGGGACTTTGTGTAGTCTGTGATGGTCGGCGTCTTGGGGAGGAGGTTGCCGTAGGCGTAGACCAGGTCGGCGTTCACCACGACGACGTCGGCCGAGAGGGACTCACCCGACTCCAGCTCGACGCCCGTCGCCCTTTTCCCGTCCGTCAGGACGCGGGACACTGGCGTGCTTAGGCGATAATTGACGCCCATCTGCTCGCCGATGCGTACCAGCGCCGCCACGACCTGGTGGAAGCCGCCCTTGGGATACCAGATTCCCTCGGCGAACTCGGTGTACTGAAGTAGGGAGTAGGTGGCTGGGGCGTCAAAGGGCGACATGCCCATGTACATGACGGCGAACGTGAAGACCCTCCTCAGCCTCTCTGTCCAGAAATACCTGCTCGCGCGGCTCCAGATGCTCTCGAGCGGGTGCAGGTTCACGACGTGCCTCACGAAGCCGGGGCGGGCCAGATCCATGAACTTGCTGAAGTTCCGGTGCAGCACGTCCTTGACCGAGATCTCGTAGTGGGTGTGGGCCTCCCTCAGCCACTTGAGGTAGCGCTCGAAGCCGTCCTTGCCCTCCCAGCGCTCGATCTGGGTCTTCATGGCGGCGAGGTCGGACGAGTGCCTGAAGAGCTCGCCGTCGTGGAACCAGATGTTGTAGTTGGTCTCGCAGCGCAGCAGGTCGACGCCGGCGTCGGCGAGAGTGGTGCCGAGGTCCTTGAAGGTCTCATGGAAGAGCTGGGGCAGGAGGAAGAGCGAGGGCCCTTGGTCGAAGCGGTGGCCGTCCTGAAACATGAGGGAGCACCGGCCGCCCGTGAAGGAGTTCTTCTCGAGGACGGTGACGGCGAAGCCGGCCTTTGCGAGGCGGGCGGCGAGGGCCACACCGCCGGCACCGGCGCCGATGACGATGGCCGTTTTGGGCTTCTCGCCGATTTGTGACATCGTATGTTGAGAGGAGGTATGAATTCACTAAGACGGCAGAGCTGGGTATTGGGGAGGGGAGGACAAGATGCGATCGTCGTGGAGATTATACCGATGAGATTGATAGATTGCCCAATAAGATTCTCACCAAACTCGACATATGAGCAAGACCTTGGAAGGAAGGAAGGGGGAACGCAGAGAGAGAGGTAGGAGAGTGTCAATTCACATTCATAGTCGATAATGATCCCGTCATTCTAACAAGCATGTGAAGAGTGACAGCCAGTTGAACTCGGCTCGCATGCCAAGCGGCCCATAAAACTAACGGAGCGGCGGGTGCAAGGGGGAGGACGAGGACGATGAGGCGGGGGCGTGAGAATCGCAGGAAGACGAGCTCCGCACCGGCTGGCACGGGTGAATGATGACACCTCGACTCGGAGGAGGCTCCCGGCAAGTGAAGGTTGGAGATTGGCAGATATGGGCGCACACCAATCGTTAACCAGGCAGTCAAGTAGGGGCAAAAGTCACTTGGGATCTGTTGGGGTAAGAGAGAAAATGGCGGCGTAATGTATTACGGTAGGTACACTACGGGAAGCAAGGGACCGACCGGCGCGTGGAGCTGGAGTTTTTCCACGTAGGCAGAAAAGCTTGACATGTATGCACACAGGTGCATGGTACACGTACACGGACGAAATGCGTCGCAGATGGATGGTTCATTAGCTCCATCGGGCAAGCTCACAATAGAAGCCTAAGGTTGCGGACTCGGACATTCGTATACCTAGTGGCAGGCTCTTTGCTTTTCAATGGTCCCTGTGTATACGGAGTAGACGGTGAAAAGTTAGTCTGATCAGATACCTGATGCTACAAGCAACGCGCCTGAGAAACATTCCAACGAGGAGCGGGAATCATCATGGCATGCAACCTTGCTACGTTCCCTCTTCCCACCGCCGTGTTTCACGCGTGGTCCCCAAGAAAAGCCATCAGTAAGTAGACGCGGTCTGGACGGGCGTCGCGCAGGTTCATTTCCATCCCAACAACCACAGGTGTACAGGCATACGCGTGTATTACTGTCAGCCCCGCCGCCTCCTCTTCCGAATCCCTGGTCGGGTCAAAAATCCGGCTCTGGGCTGGCGTATTCGAATACAAAATCCCATGTTTGAACGCTCATGTGGTCGTCATAGACTTTTATCCCCCCCTCGGGCATCGGCCAACCAGCAACGCCGGCGGGTCGCACATAGTAGTGTGTGTGCAGCCACCACCTTGCAGTTGGTGTAAGCTGCATGTTACATACATGTTGCATGCTTCAAGGAAGTTGCTGCACCTTAATCCTCGACAATTCCATCCCAACTCATCCCTGGGTACCTTTGTTTTCCCCCTTCCCCCCCTTCTTTTCCACGTACCTCGCGCCCCCGCTCCATGGCCGAAACGGGAAAGAAGCTCTATTGTACAGATAAGCGCCACCCTGCCCCCTCTCCCCTCCTCCTCTAATGCATGCACCTCTTTGTGCCTGGGCTTAACGTATGCTTCTCGCCTTATCTGTGGTGTAGAATCTCTGGGATTTCTCAACTCTCTCCAAATGTCCGAGCTCCGAGAAGTAAGCAGTGAGCAGTGAGGAACAAAAATGCAAGCATCAGGCGGAGGAAAACTCCGCAAGACAACAAAACACTAGTAGGAATACCACTTTCCCTTGACTCGGGACAATTTACAGCTCTTCCTACGGAGAACTAGCCGACTGATAATCGTGTACCCTTCTTTTTTTTCCACATCCCATTCAACGTTTTTACGTGATTCGCATGTGCCTTGCCAGCCAGTCATACACCCACAGGTGAACCATCCTCCGTCGTACCTCCGGCAAGGCAAACAAAAAAGGCCCAGGACAACAGGCAGCAAACCAGTTGGTTTGTCTTACAGCGCCATTTCATCGGTTCTTTTTCACACTGGGTCGCTTCACTTTGCACACTCACCCGCTGATAAGAAGGTGACTCGTCATAGTTGCGTCGACTCCCTCAACGAGTATTGCAGTACATTCATCCCTCCGGTACGGATACATAGGCCTTGCATTCTCACCTTACACGCCCAGAGGTTCCACCTCTAACGAGACGTTAGCGCCCCTGGCAGACAGGAAGAAACCAGCTTTGCTGTCTGGGACGTGCCTTCCCACCCGGCTTGGACAGATTACTAGTAGGTCACAGAAAGAAGGAACGAATGCACGGCCGCTGCCGCTAAAAGACGGCTCATATTTTCTCTCAAAACACCACACAGCAGCTTCACCAACTTCTTCTTCGCCCTCGATGGGATTCTTCTCATTGTTGTGAACTCTCTTGGCTTTTTAGTTTGCCCGCCCGAGGCAGAACTCTCACAATGGGCTACGACTACGCGCTGGTGTAAGTGCTTTTCTCCTTCTCTCACAACTTTCCACGCTCACCAACCCCTGCCAGGCACGTCAAGTACACCATCCCTTTGGCTGCACTGCTCACCGTCTTCTCATATCCCGTCTTCACGCGCCTGGATGTCGTGAGGACCCTTTTTATTGTCACAATCGCTTTTGTCGCCACAATCCCCTGGGACTCATACCTTATTCGAACCAACGTCTGGACTTACCCTCCTGACGCAGTCCTGGGCCCGACCCTTTATGACATCCCTGCCGAGGAGCTCTTCTTCTTCATCATTCAGACCTACATCACCGCCCAGCTCTACATCATCCTCAACAAACCCGTACTCCATGCGCAGTACCTTAATTCGCCTGCGACCCTACCGCAATGGATCAAGAGCGGAAAGCTCGTCGGCCAGCTTGCTCTTTCCGGCAGCGTCCTTCTGGGCACCTGGCTCATCGCCAAGAAGGGTGAGGGTACTTACCTAGGCCTGATCTTGGTCTGGGCATGCACCTTTGCCCTCTTTACCTGGACAATCACCGCCCATTTTCTCCTGGCTTTGCCGTTGGCATGCACCGCCCTGCCCATCCTCTTGCCCACAGTGTACCTCTGGATCGTCGACGAGATGGCTCTAGGCCGCGGCACCTGGGCCATTGAGAGTGGCACAAAGCTGGAGCTCCAACTCTTTGGTAGTCTCGAAATCGAGGAGGCCACCTTCTTCCTGGTCACCAACATGCTCATTGTCTTCGGCATTGCTGCCTTTGACAAGGCCGTTGCTGTCTGTGATGCTTTCCCCGAAAAGTTTGACAAGCCGGCCGATGCTTTGGCCATGTCGTTGCTGCGTGCCCGCGTCTTTCCCTCCTCAAAGTACGACATGCAGCGCATCTTGGGCATCCGCCAAGCTGCGGCCAGATTGGCCAAAAAGAGCCGCAGCTTCCACCTCGCCAGTTCCGTTTTCCCTGGTCGTCTACGTATTGATTTGACCCTTCTGTAAGCCCCCGCCAGCGCGACTGTTCGCGAGCCCTATTGACAAGAGACATTAGTTATTCCTATTGTCGCCTGGCAGACGACCTCGTAGACGATGCGGCAACCCCGGAAGAGGCAGCCGTCTGGATCTCCAAGCTTGACCGTCACCTCAGCCTCCTCTACAAAGACCCCGACGCGACATCGACGCCCCTTGCCTCCAAGTACGCTGCCGAGAACTTCCCCCCGTCTGCTCTCTCAGCACTAGACATGCTCCCGACCTCCCTCCTCCCGCGCGAGCCCCTGGCTGAGCTCCTCAAGGGCTTCGAAATGGATCTTAGCTTCAGTAACTCTGCCTTCCCTATCGCCGACCCCGAGGACCTCGAGCTCTACGCCGCCCGCGTCGCCAGCACCGTCGGCCAGGCCTGCCTCGAGCTTGTCTTCTGCCATTGCCAACACGGCCTGCCTGATTACATGAAGGCTTACCTCCGCAACACGGCGCGCCAGATGGGTCTCGCTCTGCAGTTCGTCAACATCTCTCGCGATATCGCCGTAGACGCAAAGATCGGTCGCGTCTACCTCCCCACCACGTGGCTCAAGGAGGAGGGTCTGACGCCGGAGGATGTCCTCAAGAGCCCCAATAGCGAGGGTGTCGGAAAGGTGCGCCGCAGAATCCTTGCAAAGGCCTTGGACCACTACGGCGAGGCCAGAGACTCGATGAAGTGGATTCCGTCAGAGGCGCGCGGCCCCATGATTGTTGCCGTTGAGAGCTACATGGAGATCGGCCGGGTCCTGATGCGTAACGGCGGCTCCGCGGCGGCGGACGGTAGTGGACGGGCTACGGTTCCCAAGTCAAGACGTATTTGGGTCGCTTGGAGCACGTTGATGGCCGCTTAGCCGTGCCAGCTTGACTGGACGCCGTGGCGTTTGCAGGCTACCCTAGCTGGATTTCTCTCCTCATCCCCATTTTCCTCCGTTCAGTCTCCTCTCTTGCTCGCCCCATTGGCATTTTTCTATAGGCATTGCGATAGACAGCATGGCGTACATACGATGATAGTTATATGAATCAAGCGTTACGACCACAATTGCTTTAGCCCGACTTCTTTTCCCCCCGATGCAAGGTTGGTGAATCGATTCGTTGGTGTGTTTAGTTGCCCACAGGGATCGATCGGGCTGTGATGAAATCGTGGCAGTGACATCACGAACCCCCCAAAGCTCCCGAGCTACGTAAGCGGGTGGCTCGTGCGCGCTTGACAAGGGGTAAGAAGGGTGTGTGTGGTCAAAGCCCCGGGCGAACTTTCACCGACTCCACCGAGAGCCGGACCGAACTCCACTCAAATCTGAACGACTTCCACCACGCCGAAATCTCACCATCGCGCCGAACCCAATCGAGCCTCGTCGCGCGCAGCCTTCGAACCTCGCACAATACGGTAGAACGCCGACGGGCGAAACTGCCCGAGATGATACCCAGATCAACGGCGCGCCGCGTCCTCCGGGACCTCTCGTCCCACCGCCCATCGCGACCGCTGGCCCCCTTCTTCTTCTTCTCCCCCGCGACCCTGCGCCCCTTCGCGTCAACGCCCACGTTCCGCCTGCAGGCCCGGGGGCCGCCGCCGTCGCCGCCGCCGCCGATGTCCCCGGTCCCCCAAAACCCACACTCTGTCCAGCAGGCCGTCGCCGCGAACGCCGCGCTCTCGAACCTCTCCCACCTCTCCCCCGCGCAGATTACGGCCCTCCTCTCGACGTCGCCGCCGCCGTCCCGCCGCTCGGTCTACCTCCGCCGCGCTCTCTGGGCCCTCTTCTTCTTCGTCGTCGGCTACAAGATCACCGACGACCAGCTAGCGACCGTGCGCTTCGTTTACCCCTTCACGAACCCGCCCGTTGAGATCGACGACCCGGAGACGATTCGCATGTATCGCGCCGAGGTCACTTCCGCTGCCATCCAAGATTACCCCATACTCCAATCCATGATCCCGACAATCAACCCCGCCACCGGCTTGACCGCGCCCACGGACTGGGAGCACTGGGAGCCCTACGCCGACTTCCCGCCAGAGACGCTGGCGCGGCACCTCTGCGGCGGCACGCTCAACGACCCCAACGGCCTGGGTCTCGTCCACCTCGTCTTCCGCCACCGGTACACGGGCGAGCTGATCCTCGCCGTCGTTTTCGGCCACAGCACCTCGGGCTGGCCCTCGGTCGTCCACGGCGGCATGCTCTCCACCATCATGGACGAGGCCATGGGCCGCCTCGCCGCCCTCAGCTTCCCCGCCAACACGGCCGTCACGGCCAAGCTGGCGGTCGACTTCAAGGTCCCCGTCACCCCCGGCATGCTCTACATTGTCCGCGTCGCCAAGGCCCTGCCAGAGTTCCAGAAGGCGCGCCCGGACGAGGAGGACAAGTCGGACCGCAAGATGTGGGTCGTCGGCCGCATAGAGGATCCGGACGGCGCTACCGTCGTCGAAGCCAAAGGGCTGTTCGTCGTGCCCAAGGGAGACGCCGTGAAGCCGTTGGGGAAGAGGTTCTAGTCTGACGGGATGGGGGCATGTACCGCGGACCATTGTGTCCAGGTAAGGGGGGGGGGGGCGTAAGGGAGAAAGAGAAGGAAGGTGGTGAGGGTCTTGTCGCATTACATGGCGTTACGGAGGCGATTGCCGGCGGTTATTGACCCCCTTGGGATGTTACCAGGATGAGTAAATACAGAAGGGGAGGCCCGCCAGCCGGCGGGGCACGCACGTGTTCGTACGTGGAATTGTAGATTAGGAGAGGCCGGCGAATGCCACTGACGAAGAATCCCGAACCCTGCTCCGCTCGGCTCGACGTGAAATTCAGCCTTCCAAACTCGGGAAACTCGGGAAAACGGGGAGCTTCGCACGACTTGCCGTCCGGCGCAAGAGGGCTACGAGAACTGAACGACCATGCTCTCCCATTCGGCCAGGGCCGCCGTGAGGGAATGATTGGCCGGATGTGAGAATCCGCATGGTCCGACGCGATTGACTTTCTCCACGAGACGTGGGAGCCGTCTCGCTTCGAAATGTCGGGGAACACACACACACACACACACACACACACACACACACACACACCAAGTCTATATAACATTGAAGAGCCGTGGGATGACCAGACCATTGGAGGTGTCGCAAATGTTCATGCCATAATTGCAATACTTAGGTATCAAATTCGTCATCGAAGAACGGGAGTGGATAGGATAGGTAGCATAACTTCTTCTGTCGGCCTCATTCCAACACGGTTTACCATAAGACATGTACACACTCTGAACATCTCTCCGTTTGATAGCGAGATATAGGCAGAGAATGAAGCTACTAGTATTTACTATGAACAGCCCATGGCCACAAATTCACGGACCTACATCGTCGAGCCGGATGCCGTGGTTGTCCACTGTGGCCGAAGCTGGCCATTAGGGTAACCATTGGGCTGTGTATTCGGAACATGGTAAGAGTTGGCGAACACTCCTCCTCTACCACCAAAGCTCCCACGTCCTCCCCGGTAACCGCCGCCACCACGCCCACCACGTCCGCCACGATACCCGCCACGCACATCGCCACGATAACCACCGTTGGTACGATATCCTTGGGGTCCGCTTGGTGGTGACCTGGAGGATGAATGGCCTGACGATGCTTGGTCAGGGGCACCCCCATTTTGCGGTCCTGCAAGGCCTCCTGCGGAACTTCCTGTCACAGATGGTGGCCCCCGCGGGCCTCCCCCTGTAGACCCGTTCTGGCTGGAGTTGCCTCTTCCTCTCCTGCGATTGTTGTACTGCCGACGACTAGTCTTGGGCTTCCCTTCCACTGAAAAGTCGATCTTTTTGACGGGGTCGGTGACTAGAATGTTCTTGCTCAGACCCAGACGCTCCAGCTCTTCTTGTGGCGTAGTCCAAAGTTGGAAGACGTTTTCGAGGTTTTCAACCTCGCGCGTTTCGACCACCCAAGCCTTGACGTACTCGCCGGTCTTATCGTAGTCGAAGGCCTGCTTAACTGGGTTGAAGATCCTGTTGTCTCCACGAGGGTCGTTACCAACCCCGGCGACATATTGCCAATTGGACCAATTGGAGTTGACGTCGTAGTCGACAAGGAGATATTCGTACCATTCCGCGCCATACCGCCAGTCGATGCCAAGGTGCTTGGTCAAAAAGGACGCAACGTTCTGCCTTGCCCGATTGGAAGTGTAGCCAGTGTGATAGAGCTCTCGCTGGGAGGCGTCAATTAAGCCCATGCCAGTGGTACCATTGAGGAACCGCTGGAGTATCTTCTGAACGTCGTCGACTGGGGTTCCCAAGTTGTCTTCCGAGACGACGTGTTCGGGATCGGCCGACTTCCACTTTGGAGTTGTATCGTTCTTAAAGCCAGTAACGCAAAAGAGCTTTGCTCCAAACTTCATCGTGCACAACCTCATGTAATCGCGCCAGAGAAGTTCAAACCGAACTGCCTTGGTCCCGTCGTTCTCCCCTTTCCCGTACCCAGGTGTTTCTTTGAATCTGTCATCCTGCCCATCCTCGTATTTGACTAAAGCCTCGTGTATTTGTCGGGATGTCAGACATCCCAATGCCAAATAAGCCGACAACTTGGTGCTGAAATCGACACCGAGCATTTCGTTGCGGGTGTCCTTGTAGCTAGACACGGATCCGGTCTTTACAAGATGTTCGAGCCGCTCAATAGCAAAGTCTTCGCCGCCCTTGAATGGGTGCACCGACTTAGCATTCTCAGGAAACTTGGGTTCTTCATTGAAGGGACTTTTCAGGGGCTTGAGAAGAGCTGCCTCTAGTGCGTCGTAAGTTGATGGAATTTGAAACGGCGTTCGCTGTGGCGGGATGATGGATTGGTCTGGGTAGGGCGGAAGAGATCCTTTTTTAGGATGAGGCAGCGTAGGCCTGGGCTTCTCGCGTAATGGCTCTTGGGTCTTTCTGAAGGCCGTGAACACATCGGCCAGCTCGCTAGGAGATTCGAAATGGAGGTCACGACTGGCAAAGGGGTAGCCCATGTTAGCCATACTACTAGAGGACAAACTTCTTTGCTGTAATGGACCTACTCGTCAATGAAGTATTTCTCGTCCGTCCAGGTCTTGAAGGCGACGCCGTGCTTCTCGCATGCTGCGGACACAGCCTTTTCATCCCGCTTCTCTTCGACGGATTCCTCGGCGGTCATCCAAACAGCACCGACCTTTTGTTTTTTGTCGGCAAAGCTTCGGAGTAGGTCGTCAACGACGTCGCCGAACTTGCCTGCTCGGAGGGCCAGGCCGCTGTGTACGCTTTCAAGAGACTCCTTCAGGTTCCAGACAGACTGCGCGACAAACTTGGTGCGGTGAGGCCCACATCGCCAAAACTTTCCAATCTGGCTGCGAGCTTCAGGGTAGGGGGATTTGGAACCCTCCCGGAGGAAGCCGGATATCTCGATCTGGTGTGCTGGAAAGACGTAAATCGGAAGCACATGGGTGAAGCCGTGATCCGAAGCGGTAGACAGGTGATGGATGATAGGGTTGTCGGCGATGCGTAGGTCGTGGCGGAATAGATATATAAGAATGTTTGTAGCCGTCATGATGGGAACGATGTGCGCTATACGTGATTGGCCGCTCGTTGCCAAGTGTCGAGAAAGGTATGCTTGGGATTTCTCGGGAATATAGACAGTGGCATACGCGTTTGGGATACTGCCTGCAATGTGAAGGTTGGTGAATGAGCGCGGATGGCGGACGGGACCCAAGACGGAGCAGAGAAAGACAGGTGGGAACAGGCAGACAGACGAGATTGGATGGCGAAGGGTACAGGTTAAGTCTAGATTGTGTTGGTAAGAGTCTCGGCCCAAGTCATGGCGTCAGAGAAGCCGTTAGATCTGACTTGGTTCCCGATCAACTGGGAAAGCAGATTAGACTAGTCTCAGAGTCGCCACAGCGCATGTACTGAGTAGGGTGGGTAAGGTGGTCTGGGCGATGGGGTTGTAGAGACGGACGGCATCGACTTTTAGGCTAGAGGATCGGGACAAGATGGGAAAATATAGGGTGGGCTGGGAATAGGAAGAGGCGTCTCTTTGTAGTCAGAGGCCGGGGCAAGTATGTCGATCAGCCAAGTGTCTGCTCCAAAGGAAGAAAGGGAGTCTCGAGGGGAGTGTGACGAATGGAGCGCGGCAGAGTCGACCAGGCAGTTTACGGTCAAGACCAGGAGATGATGCAGGGTTAAGGCGCTCCAACGTGGAGCAGGTTCACGGCGCGCAGGTTTGGCCGGGATGTAATGTTTGAGTTGCAGCAAGTTCAGACGGGCCGGTCAAGTGTACGAATCGACCTCGGCCAAGAGCAACGTAAGGAAGCACGGAGAGGCAGTATAGTTTAGTGTGTAACTAAGTAGGTATATGTATGATATGGAATGGATAGGTAGGGAGTCGAAGAAGAAGGAGAGGGTTTTGGGTTCAAATCGTCGAGGGGCGGAGGTTTCGCCGATGGCTCAGGACAAATCATGACGCCTCCTTCCGTACAAGTAAGTACTCGGTATCCGCTTGACCCATGCATGGCGCATTGGACCCTGAGATTTTTCTCGAGCACCTCTTTGGGTCTAGGTACACTATGTAAAGTAAACCAAGGTAGAACACCCCCCTCCCCTTCTCCGAAGCGCCCCCCGCCAAGGTACGTGGTATATACGTGTATGTTGTGCACTCCCTGCCTACTGAGTAATGGCATAGCATGACATTCCGGTGTTCACCCCATCTGGAATGGCATGGCTGAAGGATATCCGCGCAGCTAGCAAGCACATTTGCCTGCTTGTCGGCAAGGCAAAGGGTTCCGGAACGTGCTCCGCGACGGGGGTCGACTGACAGAAGCGAGTAGGTAGGCAGTACGACATGGTAGTAGTACTGCACAGTGCCTGCGAATCTTCAAGGAGGGAGAACAGCCCAATGACGGACATTGAACAGATGCGGCAGCTGTACGATACATACAGTGCGCAGTAGGAAGCATACCTAGGTAAGGTAGGTACAGGAAACAGCAGGACCACGGGGGTTCAGATGCAGGGAGGGAAATCGGCACGGGTCGGTACTGGTGTGGTTGCATGGCGATGGTGATGGTTCGGGAAGGATGGAGAGGTGCCTTAAAAGTTCGTTTTCAGATCCAGAGATACGGTTCGGGTTGTCGAGATCGAGCCTATACAGATGGATCGCTGGGTTTAAAACAGTGGGGCAATCCCTCCAGTCGGATCACACCGAGCAGTGCCGAATGACGGATACGTACTTTCCCGCTGTCCCTTAGCCTTTCCTTTCCTTCACCGCCCACCTTGGGTACCCGGCCTACCAAAACAGGTGTCTAAGGTACATCGTACTTTGTTAATTATCGGGTTTCCTTCCATGTCAAGAGTCGCCCGATTGGATGGATGTACGTACCGAGGAAGCTGACCATGCAGGTAAGGCAGGCACGGCACCACCTCCGTACTGCCTTTCCCGAGCATGGGAAAGTGCGACTGAGCCCCGCTCCCTCCAGGATATCCTCTCGATTCACAATTGCCATCCATCACGCTTACCATCACCTCTCTCTCTCTCTCTCTCTCTCTCTCTCTCTCTCTCTCTCTCTCTCTCCCAACTCCACGCACCCTTCGATGGTTAGACATTCATGTCAATCACATCCAGCATCCGAGCATCGCGGCGGGGCGGGGTCCCAAAGCTATTTACTTGTGGTGTACTACCTATAAACTACCTACATGTTTAGAAACTTTCCTGCCACCTGCCACCTGCCTGCCTGTCAATGCAGGTCGCAACGAAGCTGAAGCTTGGGGCGCGGTGCGGCTTCTTCCGCGCACACACACACGCATGATGAATCATCGAACCAACCGTTCACCTTCCCGCTTTGTTCTCGGGTCGGTTGTTTTTTCATCTTTATTGTTTTGGTAACGTATCATTAAAATTCTTTAGGCACCGCCACCGCCCCCGGACTTTTCACATCGGATTTCAGACCCTCCCACTCGGCCGATCCATTAAAGACATGACGGCCACCATCGAGTCAGCCGGCCCCTTTGAATCGACGTGTCAAAACTCTATGAAGCACAACAGCGAAGCACCAGCAGAGCCCTGTGTCTTCGCCGACTACCCAGTGTGCATGCTTCAACTCGCCATGCTAGCTACAACTCCTTCAAAAAGCCATCCATACGGCATCGCCCGCCATTCATGGCCCGAGACAAGCAAGCACGGCTCCCATCAGATGTGTAACTGATGATGGTATGCCTTGTTTCTGGACGGATCCCGACAGCCTTATGCGGAGCGGAAGTATGCTCTGGAGCTGCATCTCGAACCCCTGGCCAAGGCAGCCTCGATCGGCACGGAATGCTCCATAATCCCCTATCAGAGCTTCAGAAACCGTCTGCTTACATAAGGGCGTCATCCGGGGCATTGCACATACTGGACATTACGTTTGTTCTCAGCTGGATTTTGCTGGTAACCGTGGCGAACCGAGCTGCCGATGGCTCCAGGCCCAAACTTCGATCTGCGTGTATGTGATGCTCGATGCTCAGACCGCGCCCATCGATGGCCATCCCCGACGCCTGCATCGGGTGCATTTCCGGAACCCATTCTACAGCCCTTGCTCTGTTGAACCGCCACGTTTTCTGCCCGTTGTGTACGCCTGACCCATGGATGTGTGCCCTTGATCCCACCATGCACAATGTGTCGGCTTAAGTTTTGTCTCCCAGTTGGATAGCGTACCGTCGTCAGACCTGCCAAGGCCCGGTGTTGCACTACAGTCGCGAGTTTCACTGTCGGCAACGTAGATGTCGTTGGCGTACTGGAGGTTTCATGCGCGACGGGCGCCAGCCAAAACCCAGCCGCGATGTCAGGTTGGCGAGGGCAATCCTCGTATCGGCGCCCACATTCGAGCTTTCGCCTTGATTTTGACGCATAGTCATTACATGAGGAACTCACCAGTCGTTGACATCCATTACCCACCCGCATACGCACCAGGCAACAATTTGGCAACGATCCAGGCTTATCTGAGCATCTCTGACCATCGACCTGCTTCGTACGGAATGCCCGCCGAGCGACACCCCATCCAATCACATCCACGTCCGCCCCGAGGATTCTAGACCCGCCTAATATCGGCAACGTCCGTTTACTGACCGGACCCGGCCTGTCCTACCTGTGCCAACATCTTAGTTTGGGTTCCAGCTCCGGCTAGACACTTCATATTGTCTCACAGCCAAACGATGACCCCTTTCCACAGGAAGATATCCGTGCTTTTTATGCCATAGGGGGTACACTGGAACATCGGGTGCGCATCCCTTTGACAATAAACCAATACGTACAGACAACTAACTCTTTCAAGATTGAGAGCCGTAAGTCTGACGTCTTCTTTGCCCCGCTTCAGTCTATGGCGTGCGTGGCAGCTCTGCGTAACTATAGCCGTCGATATTGGTCTAGAACTTTGAACGACATGACGATCATCACCCCGAACAACACAATGTCATCATCGACCTCGGCCAAGAGGCAAAAACCAATCCCCGCCAGTTCTGGCATCTGAAACATGCATCGCAGTTCATCGAATTTTGAAAATACCGCCATACCCGTCAATGACTTGCTTATCGTGAAACCTGGGTGATGTTGACAACGGTCAAACATGAACTCCCGCCACACTCACTGCCCTGGGTGCGGTTCAGGAGCGTTTGGGTTTTGCGCAAACACTCTGACGACAGGCGAGAGTGAAGCTCGCGTGAACTAGATCGTCCGTTTCTTGCCGGCGTGGTCACTAGAGTATATATCTATACAGCTGCGGCCCTAAGCCAATTGACGGCATGAGCGAGCCTCGTGAATAGTCTGCCTTGCGGGCTGTCTAAGCACGCGCCCAGTCAATTTCCCTCGACGGGCTTTAAAGGGTCTTTTGGATAGGGTCGTATAATAGTTGCAGGGTCCGGTAAACAAGGATAGGTGGCGTCAAGAGTTACAGCTGGACACCTACCTTGCCGGTGAGACCAAGTGCAGTCAGTGTACATCACCCACCTACAAATCTCTGCTAACACATCTAAGGTGGTCCGTAGTTGTTATATTTAAATGCTTCAGTGTGCAGTGCATCGACTCCATTCATGTCATCATGTTGGAGTGCTCACCATGCTTGACGAGACTGCACAATCGATAACAGGAAAGCGGAGGCTGGTAAGCGTAGAGCAAGAGGCCGCCCCAGTTTCGACCATGACAAAGTTCTGAGGCGACCGGTTGCCTGATCACCTATCAATCATGTTTCGTAAGTCGTTATCCGTCATAATAAACTACACAAAAACCAGACATGCCGCCAAAGCTGCCTGATTAAGATGCCCGGCTGAGCCGGGAGAAATCAGGTCGTATGCCCTCTCCTTTTTCTTCTTCTTTTTCTTTTCTTTTCGTGCTCCGAGCGCCCCCTTCACGATTGCTGGCTTGAGGGTGCCTCGGGCCGCAGCCAGTCGTATGTGTCGAGCAGGTCAAAGTTGAAGTCGGGCTGCGTGGAGAAGTCCCAGTCCATGGCGTCCAGCGCCGCCGGGAAGCCGCCGTCGACGGCGGACGAGGCCGACGCCACGGGGCCGTTGAGGGCCTGGTCGAGGACGCGCTGGATGATGCACTTGCAGTCGGCGCAGAGGTCGCCGTTGGGCGCCGTGGGGCTGACCCAGTCGAGGAAGCCGACGAGCAGGCTCAGCTTCTGGATGATGCTGGACCGCGTCACCTTGGGGTTCTGCGGGTGGTTGCCGCCGTGGAGGGTGGGCTTGAGGAGCTCGAGGCAGAGTATCCCCCCGCCGGGGGCGGCGTAGGCCATTACCTAGATAGATCGTGTTAGTCTCGGTCTCGTAGTTTGAGATGATCTGATGAAAGAAGGGGAGGGGGGGGGTACGAACAAGCCATTCGAAATCACTGTGCGCGCAGGAGAGGCGGTCCATGTTCGTCCAGAACAGGAGCGTCTTTGACACCATTTCGAAGCTGACGGAGAGCAACGCGCCGTCGTCGTGACCCCGCTTGGCAAGCAGGCGCTCTATGAAGAACATATTTTGGAGGCGTTCGAGGTGCACGATAAGCCGGACGCAGAACAGCGGCTCCTCGAGCTTCCTGTCCTGGACGTCCTCTTCCTGGAAGGCGATGATCTGGGGCAGGTTGGCGACCATCCTTAGCTGTCTCTCCTTGATCTCCCTAAGAGCAACCCCCCCCCAATCAATGTTAGCATCGTCTCCTCGGGGCGGCGACGTGGGGCAAGTGCCATCCCTCTCTCTCGTCTCACGGGAAGCGGGGGAGGGGGGCGCCTACAAAAGTGTTTCGACAGGCGTCACCGGCCCGTGGCCGAGGGCGATCTCGAAGACCTCGTCCCGAATGTGCGCCAGCATGACGCGGGCCCGAATGAAGGTGGCCGAGCACAGGCCGCCCTCGGTGTTCCACCCGTTCTCGTCGAGGTTGGCCACGTGGCGGGCCAGAGTGGCCTCGTCCGCGAGCAGGTACTCGTCCTTGAGGTCCAGCGGCGGCGGCGTGCGCGCGTACCGGCGGCTGATGAGGGGCGGCCTGCCGGTGAACGAGGCCAGCACCTTGTCTATGTAGAATATGTAGCAGAAGAGCTTGCGTTTGATCTCGGAGCAGACGGTTGGCTTGTACGGCTCCGCGGCAACCTCGTCGTGGAACCCGAGGAACGTCGACAGGGCCACCGTCTCGGCGTGCAGCTGCCAGCAGGAGAAACCTAGAAAAGGGGCGGGGCGACGTTAGCTCTCTCTCTCTCTCTCTCTCTCTCTACCACTCTACCTCTCTACCTCTCTACCTCTCTACCTCTCTACCTCTCTACCTCTCTACCTCTCTACCTCTCTACCTCTCTACCTCTCTACCTCTCTCTCGTCATGCTGTACACACGCATGTACGGCGGTGCGGCGCTCCGAGGCGGAAGTCACTCACTCGCGTCGCCCGAGAAGACGGACTCGATAATGGCCCGCTTCACAGACATGAAGAGCAGCAGGGTGTTGCCCCCGCTGCCGGCGGCCTTGGTCAGCTCGATGCTCGCGCCGATGCAGTACCGGTACTGCATCACGACCCTGGTCCTCTCATCCAGGGGCTGCTGGAGATGCGAACGGACGTCGCGCCGGTAGGGGCCGAGATACCTGGCCGCCAGCTCCCAGTACACGAACATGATCCCCAGCGACTCCCATCGCAGGTTTGTGCCGGTGAACTGCGCGATCCACTTTTCCGGGTCGGACTCCTCCTCGGACACGCACTTTGCGGTGTTGCTGCATATGGTCCGGGCGAGCACGGCCAGCTGCGCGTCATCCGGCCTTTCTTGAGCGCAAAAGTACTGCGGGAACGTCTCGTACAGCGACGTGATCATGCGCTTCGCAGCCATGCGGATCCAGCCGTCGCTAGGACTGGTGTTGGTCTCAAACAGCTTCAGTCCCGTCTCCCGGTCCGGGACGTGGCGGAGGATGGTCAGGCACGTCTCCAGGGCCTGGTTCGTCAGAGGTGGAGAGCACTCGAGCCCGCAGGAGGCCGTTGCGCCGATCTCGCCGATGGGGGTCGCGCCGGAGGGCTGCAATCGGTTCAGACTGGACCGAGTTTCCTCGTAGATGCCGCAGAACGAGGTGAAGCCGAGGTAGCCAATGCCGAGGACGGCCGGGGTGGCCCCCGTGCCGACCGACTCCGGGCTGGTTGGGAGGCTGGCGGGGACGGACGCGCGGGGACGGCTCCCGGAAGACGTCACCGGCGATGTGGTAGTCGTCGATGCCGTCCGTGAGACCGCCGCTGGCCTCGGCGGGAGCTTTGTAATCGTCACGGCGGGTTGAAACGTCGGCGCCGTTTGTGGTACAGAAGGAGTCCTCGACCCGCGCCGGCTTTCCCTAGCCCGGGCCTGCTTCGGGGTTTGTCTCAGGGCCGGGCTGCCGTCCAGGATGTACTCGCACACTTCGCCGGGGCGCATTGACTTTCTACACCTGTTGCAGATGGGCTGGGCGTGGTCGCAGGCGACCTTGCGCTTCCGGCACGGCTCACACGCCTGCGGCCGCCCGTTCTTCCTGAGCAGAAGCCGAGATGGTGTTTGTGTCGACTCCATATTCTGCGGCATCATTCGGCAATCGGGACGGGTCAATGCTACCGTCTCCCGCATAAGCAAGGCAGTGTCGTCTCGTAACAGAAAGTTCGGGAAGCGGTCCGCAAATATCGACCAAGACCATTGTCGGCTTGAACATTGATGGAGTGAGGTTCGACACGCGCGAAAGCTCGGTCTCGGCTTCGGAAACGCGGTGTCGGCTTCGGATATGGGTACACATCGGTGTCGGCTACCCCACTATCTTCTTGCTGTGTTACTAATGAAATTTTCCTATTCCTAAATCATGTCACTGGCCGCCGCTGGAGTCTAACCCGAAACGACTGGCCGAACAAGCCTCTTTTACAAGGGCAAGGATGCAGCTTTCAGCCCGCGTCTCTATTAATAATGCGTGACAGGCTTATGTATGGTCCCCCAGTCTTATCCATCCAACTAACACGGTTGAACAGTACCATGGGGCTTCCGAAGCGCGATCCACTAGGCGCCCTTCGACATGATGCCATGCTCTGGACCTACCTGTGAGTCAAGATGCCCGTGAGTCAATATGGGACTTGCAGACCGAAGCCGCGGTCGGGTTGGAAATCAGATTCGGTGTTCTAGATGTATAAAGCCCTTCCGCGGCCTCTCCTCTCCTCGTGAACCCCAGATTCAGACATCATCGACGTTAAAGCATACAGCCATCACAAACAAGCACATTTGACCTTCTCCACAAAGCTTCCAAGCTCTCTTTCTTCACATCTCTTCATGAGCTCCATCGAATCCACGCAACACCTCAAGGCCATCCTCCGGGACCAAATAGACAACAAGATGTCCGGCGCATACTACGAGACAGCTTTCATCGTTCCCCACTTGCAGACTTCTGTTATGCCTCGCCGGCCCCGCCAGCCTGCTCCGACATCGCGTCCGACTGTCGGTGCGATGGCCTCGGAAGCAACCCTCGTTGACAAGGACGGCATCCCTGTCATGTCCAAGGAGAAGAACGATGCCTCGGGTTCTATGAATGGTAAGCTGTCTATCCTATTCCAGTCTGCAAGGCAAAAGGTGTTTTGAATCTCGGCTTTCGAGACGTTCTTCAGTCGCCAAGCAGTCCATTGCCGATCCTGTCTATGGGTGACCAAGCTTGCTGACATACTCCGCTTCAGGCACGTCACCCAAAAAGAGTCTTCTCAAGCGCATCTTGAAGAAGGTCTAGATCAGGTCCGCCGACGAGCATAAACTCACAACGCTCTACTCGGTACCCGATTACCAACGAATCAGCATCCTGTTGGTTCTCCGCGACCACGTTACGACTCCTATTGCGACACGTCTTTAGCTCTTATACCCACACACGCGAATGCGATTCTTTTCCGGCGCTTTCACATTGGTTTATTAGTTTGCGAACCTGGATTCGCGTTCGGCATGGCCGGCATTGGTAGTTGAATACTTCAGCCTGCCGGGCTATTGTTCTGTTTCCTTCGTCGGCCAAAGGGTTCGTGAGCATCTCGCCGCTCACGCCACTTGTCATCTCATATGCCAAGCAACGGTATTCCGGAGGACTTGTTGAGTACCCGTGATTCCGAAGCAGACGCAGCCCCCCCTTGACGATGCGTATACCTCGGTCGCCACGGCTATGGGGTGCGCCAAACTGTCCGCAAGGGTTGGAACCGGAAATTTTCTTGTGTATTTTTGGAGTCATGGCTTGAAGGGATTGGCAAAGAGGCTCAATGACCTCTATGTTGTTTCCCACAGTTTAAACTATTCCTCAACCAAGTATTTCATTGAGAAATCTTTCGCTACCAAGACTTTTTGCAACCTTTACACACGTGGATGTTCCGTATAATATATTGGAATCGCCGAACTTGCATCTGAACATGCCCATGTCTTCCTTCCTTCTGAATAGGTCAACTTCAGACCGCTACTCCGTCAACTGTTGTCAGAAACTCCAAGTCGTGCGAAATGTGTCATCGGACTTGGGCACGTCTTCTGGGCGTTGCATTGATAGCGAGCGTTGCCCTTGCCCTCCCTTCCAGGGGCCACACCCTCAACGAAACGCCTCACGGGCGACCCCAACAGAGCCAGAGCTGGTGCTCCTTCGGCGAATACGCTGCTCCTTTGAACATCTCGGACGATCTTGAGGCCCTTGAGAGAGCGACTTCGGAATCTCCAGCCGACCAAGGAGCCACAATCAACATCCCCGTCAACGTCTTCATTCTTGGGAATCCAGAGACCCAATCAAAACTGAATATGGTATCGTCATCAAACCCATAACCTACTCGAGCCTCCATGTAAGCTTGAACTGACTAGAAAAAATCGTCCAGACTTCTCCTGTCGTCAGACTTCAAGATAGTCTTGCCTATGGATACTCGAGCCTCGGATATTCGTTCGGGCCCTTCAATACCTACCACATCTACGACCTTGAGTTCGCGGAGTTTGAATTCGATACACTTGTCTCGCATAAGTTACTCAAGATGGCATGGCGCCTTCGCACCGGCGGGGCCGAGACGCTGAACATCTACCTCGTGCCCAAGATGGCTCCCGGCCTCCTGGCATTCGCACTCTTCCCCCGCATCCTGATGAAGGACAGCCGCAATTCCTTGGCCCTGGACGGCGTTCTTTTCAGCCACCACACGATGACGCACTTCTTATCGGAGAAGACGACGATCCACGAGGTGGGTCACTGGCTCGGGCTAACGCACCCGTTTCAGGGTGGTTGTCTCGTCCCGGACGGGGACGGAGTCCCGGATACACCGCAGACGGACTTCAAAGGAGACCAGGAGTGCGCAGCGGAAAAAGACACATGCCCCAACCTTCCCGGCATCGATCTGGTCCGTAACTACATGATGTACTCCTCTTGGTATATGACTTCCAGAAGCATGATGGGGGCAGGAATGACGTTAACAAGACCACAGTACCCAGAACTTAACTTTTACTCCGGGCCAAATGTAACCCATGCTTCAACACTCGCGTGATAGAATATTTACTGACATTCTTTCTCAGCTCGAAGATGCGCCAGTCTTGGAACCAATATCGAAACCCCAGGACCCGGCAGCTTCCTCCCTCTACAAACCAGCCTCTCCGGACGGTCCCTGACTTGTTCGATAATGAGATCACTGACCCATTTGCTCCCTCAGGATAAGGCGAGGAACAACTCGGCCGAGTATTAAGATGAGCGATAAGCTGGTTTTAGAGCAACAGCGACGTCCCTGACAAGAATCACCAAGTTGGAAGGCATCTTGTGATTGCTGCTTAGCCTCTAAAAGAATGAATAGAAGATTGATACAAATTGAGGAACCATGCTCATGCTGATGGGAGCGAACAACGCACATAGTTACTATGGAAGGCTTTCAAGCCTGGGAAATGCAGGTCACCACGCTGCCTCACAGCGTCCTCTCAACATGAGGCCAAAATGGTTACCAACCATGCCATCCGCTTTAGTACTCGTTACCGCTGTGGTAGACCTGCGATGCAATTTTCAGCATTACCCTTTTCTAGCACAACCTTATTTGAATTCAAATCAAAGTTTCTATAGAGGCCTCCCCTACTAAGCTGTCGCCACCTTGGATAACCCGTTCGACTGGCATGAAGAAGCGCTTGGGATATCGCTGAGGACTTACTCGTTCCTTTCAGGTATCACCCTGCACCCAAGATTGATTGCCACAATAACTCCCTCAATTAGCGGAAGCCTTTGAAATGCTAATATGGGTCATTTAAAGTCATTCCCGACGCTGTTCTGCGTTTTTGCGGGGTTCTGATAGTTGCATAGAGCGCCGCGAGATGACGGCAACCTTTCGCACTCCAACGTCTACGACACGCATCGCCATGACCAGTGCTGCCGAAGATTTATTCATGCCGCATGATCAACACTGGCACTGTCCGCCGGGCATCAAATACCCTTTCGACTCCTCCGTGTGGCGGCCGGGTAGCGTCGGTCGGCTCCGTGCACGGTTCCTCACAGGGACCCACTCGGACTCCGACGCCGACTGTCGGCGCGGTCCGGCTCGACGGCCCCACTGCAAGACAGCGCCCCAGCACCCTCAACCAGGTGCCTGTGGAAGACCTCTCCTGCGGCCATTACTGCAAAGGGTTAATCAAAAGCGAGATTTTGGTTTCTTACGCGATGGAATTCTCGATTTTCCTTCTTTTTCATTACTCGCTGTGATAAGAGGTCCGGCTACGTAGCTTTTCCGTAGCCAGCTTCGGCGCGAGGTTAAATAGACGATGCAGAATTTTTGATAATAATGGAACAAGCTTCACTATTTGTGAGGCACGCACAGAATACATGTAGAATTGCGGTGATAAAGTTCAAAAAATCATCTGCTTGTGGCTTATCACGCCTTTAGCCTTTCTACCCTGATGACCAGTGGAGGCGTCTATATAAGAACTTCAATTGACGGGTGGGCCATGTCGTTTTCCCATCCTCTCCGCTACCATTGCTGCCGCTGTCCCACATATCGCCCACCATGAAGCACTCTGTGCTCGTTCTCGCCTTGCTCTTCGTTCTGGGCATCACGGCTGCACAACTCCCGCTCAAACCGCCAGCATACTACGGCGCGCCCAAGAAGAAGAGGATGGTGTCCAGACGCAGCGGCACTGGGCCTCACATCGCGAGAGCCCACACTGTCAGAGCCGTCAGCGTCGAGAAACCAAAGATCGCGGACGCCAAGAAGTCAGGAAAGCAATCAGAGGAGACGTTGGTTCTGCCCTGAATGTACTTGACTCTCGGTAAGTTTTTCAAGGATAAATCCCATCTTGGCTGGCGCGTGCAGCTCACACAGATATCGCAGAAAATTGTGCCGAAGCAATTCATGCTGGCAATGGGAATCGGCTCAGGCGGCGTGCTCAAGAAAGACGGGTATAGCAACAGGTCATTTCTAAACGGGTTTTTCCATATCTGCAAGAGTCGGTGGGCGGCCTCGCAGAGCCGGGTATCCATACAGGCAACGTTGGAATCATATACATGCCAATAACGGCGCATCCTCAGACGGCATAATTATTGGTCCTCCCAAACCTACTTGATACATGATCGTGGGGTCCTTTTAACAACGAGCAAAACAATCGAAGCGGCGTATACCTAACATGATGTATTGAGAGGGGATGACGATGCTAGACGGTTGAGTTCCGTACCTTATCCACAGTTCAACATGTCCATCCAAGCACACGAATGCAGCGAGTGGGTGAGGAGTGAGGAGGCTTTTTTCTTTTCTTTTTTTCACTCTCCGCTTATCCTACCTAGATACGGAGTACACTAGTACAGCTTCCCCCGTTGCGCGGGACCGTTGTGACAGGGGCGGATTCTGCGCAGTTGCTGATGTGGTGGGATCCCCCATCGGAGAGCCAGGGCGTGTATCTAACCGGACCTGGCTGGGGCTGGGGGGTGAGGGGGTTAGTAACCCCGCTATGAGAGGTGCCCGCCTCCCTCTCGGCTCTAAGCTTAGCTCTCGAAACAGCCCGCGAATCTGCCACATGAAATGCCCATCGGATTCAGCTCGGCTTGGCCTGCACCCAACTTGCCTAGTTTGGTTGCAATTGCCTCATACTGCGAAAAAGAAGAAGAGAAAAAAGAATCTTCAAAAGCCAAGCTCCCGGACGACATCTCGCAGTCTGAGTGTTGGGCGTCCGTCCTAGCTGAAACGCAGAGATGCCGAGCCGCTGCTGCAACCTTACATCGTCAACCTAGAATCGACTCGGAATCTCTAATTGTTCCTCACCTCTCTTCTTGTCACTCCGGCTCACCAAACCGTCCATCGCCACCGAGCCTCGCTCCCTCAACATGTCCGATCTCATCACGACGCAGCACGAAGCGGAAGAGAACGTCAAGCTCTTCCCGGCGAACCCCGCCCAGCGCGAGGCCTCATGGCGTCTCAACGGCGTCTCATGGGCCCCTCCAATGTCCATCGAGGCCTACCTCTCCCGTGAATTCGCCCTCTCCAAGACGGGACTCGGGTCGAGGTGTACCTATTGGGTCCTCGTTGACCCCGCGGACCCGGAACACATCATTTCCTCCTGCGAAGCGTTCGCCAAGACCCTCCTCGTCCGCGACGCCTCCTCGCCGGCCGTCCGCGAGGAGAAGACGTACGGCATCGCCTCCGTCTACACAAACCCCACCCACCGCAACCACGGCATGGCCACGCGCCTCCTCAGCGGCGTCAAGGAGGTAATGGACGCCGACTCCAAGGCGAGCGCCCTCTACAGCGACATCGGCACCATCTACTACTCCCGCATGGGCTGGGCCGTCTACCCGTCCCTGCAGGTCTCGCTCATCCCGGACGACGCCTCCGTGCTGCGCCCGCCTCAGGGCCTGAGGTACCTCACGGCCGACGACGTCCCCGCCTTCTGCGACAGGGATGTCGAGCTCCTGCGGAAGAAGCTCGCCGGCCTGCCCGACGACGGCAAGACGCACGCCGCCTTCGCGCCGTCGGGCGACCAGATGATGTGGCACTTCACGCGCGACGCCTTCATGGCCAAGGAGCTCGTCGGCCGCGAGGTTGTGCGCCGCGGGGCCGCCACCGCCGACGGCAAGGCGTGGGTGTACTGGGACCACGACTTCCGCGAGAACAAGCTCAAGGTCCTCCGGATCGGCGGCGACGCCGACGCCGACGTCACCGCGCTGCTCCACGCCGCGGTGTTGGAGGCCGCGGACTGGGGGCTCGCCAAGGTGTTGGTGTGGAACCCGGACGACGGCATCTCGGCTTCGGCCAAGAGGGTCAGCGATCGGACCGAGGGCGCCGTCAGGGTCGTCTTTGACGAGAGATCCGACGGGAGCATCCCGAGTCTGCGGTGGAAGGGCGAGGGCGAGCTCGTGTGGGAGGACAATGAGTACTACGCATGGTGCTAGATGGCTCATTGCTGGCACGTGGTGGGCGGGGTGAATGATGATAATGATGGCAATATCAATGATAATCTCATAAACATCTTACGCTTCCCTATATCCTCATTATACCGTCGACTAGTGCGCGAAGAAACTCAAGACGTTCACGCCGAATCGTCCCGGGGTGCCAGCGCCTGAATCAAATCCTTGAACCCAATCTCGATCGCGTTCATGATCCCGTCCGCCACCAAGTTCTGATCCACGGAGAACGAGTCCTTCCACCGCCCGTTTTGCCCGAAATACGCATCGACGATGGGGTACGGAATGCCCTCGGCGCCCTCCTCCGTCCCCGAGCTCGCGTTGCGGTAGTCTTCCAGCAAGGCCCGCAGCAGCTCTTCTATCTTGGTGCAAAACATCTTGCCCGTGCCAGGCCGGATGGCGTCTTGCAGGTTCTCCCAGATGCGCGCCCTCTGCGACGTGGACAGCTTCGAGCCGAGCTCTCCTTCCTCTTCGAGCACCAGAAGTTCCAACTTACCCTCCAGGTACTTCTTCCTGTCCGGGGGCAGGTGGATGTCGACAATGTCAATGTGCCGCTGGATCTGCTCCCGCAGGATGTTGATCCACAACTCGTTTGAGGTACACTTGGCCACGGCGGCTTCCCAGTGCTCGCAGTAGGCCTCCGTCAGGGACGCGTCGGCCGCGGACGCCTCCCGGGCGGCCTTTTTGGCCGCGACGTCTACGTGCTCAAACACCTGCGTGAGCGCGATGCCGATCACGGCGTATCGCACCTCGCGCCACGCCGTCTCCCACAAGAGGTTCTGGATCGTGTCCGAGACTCTCCTGGCCGTGTTGACCTCCAGCAGGAGCACGTGGTGCATGGCGTCCGTCGTCGTGAGCGACGGGTGGACGTCGTACTTGTCGTCGAGGTTGACGACGTCGTCCGTCCGCGGAAAGCTCTCGTGGAACGGGTGGATCATCGTCACGTTGATGGGCGGGCCGTTCCACGTCTCGGCCATGCTGATAAACTTCCGCACGATTCCGGATTCGTGGTCGCCCACGGACCCGATGGTGATGTACACCATGCACCCGCCCAGGACCGTCGTCAGGTAGAGGAAGAAGTTCCACAGCGACTTGACGCTGTTGTTGGCCTCCCTGAACTGGTCCATCTCGATGCCCGCGTCGGCCATGACTTCCGTCTTCTGGACCAGGATCTGGTCCACGAGGGAGGCGATAGCGGACTGTGCCGTCATGCCGCGAGTCCAGATCAGGTAGGCCGATGGGGCGTGGGAGGCGAACTTGCGCTGCTGCTTCTTCCACACCAGCGCGTGCTGGGGGTCCGGGGCGTCGCACAACGCCTGTACGACCCTCGTCTTGTGGGAATACCCCGACGGCACGTATCTCTGCTCCATCTTGAACCACTCGAACCACTCTTTGGATGTCATGACTTCGTACGTGGCTTGCAGCTCTTGGTGGAACCCCGCTTGAATCTCGAACTTTTTGAAGAGGTTCTTTCGTATTGCTTGGAACACGTCCGCGGTCGGGTTGTCGGCAACGGCTGCAGTAAAGCGTTAGTAGTCTTTCGGCCGTCTCAAGTCTGTTCACATACATTTGAAGGCTTGGTGCATCTGATGTCTTTGCAGAGGCAGCACCGCCCGGTATCTGTCTATCGCGTGGCTTGCCATAGCCTGGCGTACATGGAGACACAGCTCCGCGTCTTCGCGGATGTGCATGAGGGTGTTCCTCATCTTGGACAGTAGGTCACCGTATCGGACCTCGAAGGGTTGGAGAAAAGTCGACATCGCGCGCTCTAACCTTTGGTTAGCGCAAGCCCACCAGGGTGACAGCGCCGTGCCCCTTACTGAGTATGTTCTTTTCTGCATTTTTCGCATCCTTGATGACCTTTTCCAAAAACTCCACAATCGCAGCGTAGAGTTCGGCTGTGAATTCTAGCATCCGCGGGGTTGGATATAAGGCCGCGTATCCCCGTATCCTCTCGAGATTTCGGCCAATGTCGATCATCACATCAATAACCTTGGGTAGAACATCGCTGTTGTTTTTCGTCACCTGAAAATGGTCGTCAGCTTGTCACCTTCCCACCGAGGTCCGAGAAGCGTTACCAGGAGGATGAACTTCAGACCACCCCAGATCAGCGGCAGGCCCGAGAATTCAGCTTGCGACAGAATATCAAAAACGCCTTGGTAATGGTCTAGACACTTGATGAATTTCTTCGTCTTTGCCTCGTCTAGCTCCGATTCTTTAGTCCTTTGGATCGCCCGAATGACCTGGTGCAGCTCCCCCTTGGCGTCAACCTCTTTGCCATCCTTGCCCTTGGGTACGACGACGGCTGCATCTTCCTTGTTGAGATATAACTCGAGGGACCTCACGGCCTTCATGTAAGCTGTCTCGGCCTTTCTGGGCACTTTTTAGCACGCGCTTCCCCTGAGACCGCCAAGCCACCAGCGGATCCGGGCGGCGGAAGGGCCAAGATCGCCGGAGCGACGACGGCTGCCGGCTTGGTGTTTGACCTACTTGAATGTTAACTCGGTCACTTGGATGTCATCCTCCGTCGCATCTTCGGAGAAACGTCGGAAGGCCTCGTTCCGGGTGTTCCAGCGAATGATCGGAGCAGAAGAACTCGTCGGGCTCCCATCGTCGTGACTCCAAGAAGGCGTCCGAAGCACGATGCTGCTTTTCGAGGAGTGGGTTCCGTACATAGCGCCGAGGCATGCCGGCGAGGCTTGGCATCAAACTAGATCTTGGAGTAGCCACAGTATTGAATTTGAAGCATGAAGATTCCGTAAATCACCAAGTAATGCCGAAGACAATAAACTCTGTTGGCTTATCTACTCAGAGGCATTTTGGAAAACTCCTTTGACGGCTCAATAGCTGCGACGGGAGCTTCGGACTCGAGACACGGAAGAGGACGCCCCAAGAAATGGCTGCCGCCTGGCAGCAAACACCCCAGAGGCCCTGACGCGACCAATCCAGCCGCACCATGTCTATGTTCCATGGGATCACAGGACAGGGCGTGCAGGACGAATAGAACAGGGTGGGCGTAAAGAATATTGCTTCTTCGCCCACGGCTGCCAATCAGCAGAAGTAGCACCCCCGTGGATGCTATCGCGCTGTGGGCTTGTGGCACGAAAAGGAAAAGGCATCTTTCCAGCTGGCGCTGACCCTTGTCGCCGGGCGATAGGTAACTTATTCCAGTCTTTGGGCGGTCTGGACGTCGATGGCCACATGGGAAACCTCGGCCGAGAAAGCGGCGCTTTTCAAATCATCTTGAGAGCGGGCGTCGTTCAGCTATCAATCATGTTACTGGCGCTCGCTTCCCAGAGGTCCTCACCTCATCACCTCACCCGTGGAGGGGCGCTCTTCGTAATACCGGCAATAGTTCCATCCCACTCCGCAAAGACATTGCTCTGAGGAATGTAATGCAGGACGCCACTGTCATTCACGGAACACAAGGGTGCCGTCCATCCGTGCCGAGCAGGAGTCTGGTTCAGCTGACATGCCACACTGCTTCAACATCATTGGAGAGAGCAGGTCATCTATTGATGCGCGTACTAGGCTGTCAACACTAGCGTCTTACCCCCTGGATCCAAACCACGCAAGCCTGTCTATATAGTACTGCAGACTGCGGTAATGGATTTGTCCGAAAGGCCGTAACCGGCGGCATAGAGCGGAGGCGCAATTGTATGTATTGATCGATCATGGGTGTCAGTGACAACCAAGCCCAACAGCGTTGGACCTGGTAGATAGGTAGTGTAGATAGGCCGCTTGCTTCTCTAGCAACACATATACACAGCAATGCAGACGGGATTTCTCAGGGAAATAGATATCACAGTCTACTTATTCTACAGTTAGCTAAGGGTTACCCGAATAATGGGTAACGCGTCTCAAGAAGACTATTATTATGTAGAGTTGTCGCAACAAGTTATCATGTAATTACTTCAGTACTCAAAGAGGAGCCAGCCAAGTCGAGCTAATTTAAGCGTGCGCCGAGTGGGCCATGCAGAGCGTATCCACTCCGCGCTCGGTTCCGCTTTCAATTGACAGGCCAGTGATAGGCCAGTTTCTAAACGGGGGTTCAGTGAAAGCGGGGCGCCACGTGACCATACCGCACCCCTGATAAGGTGCTATCAGGGTGATCCATACAGGGGGTCCAACTGCAGCGTTGCCTTCGGAGTCTGTGAATTCAGGGAAAGAAACTCCTATTCGGTCGCTACCTTCGTCAAAGAGACGTACGCTACACGCGCAGCACGATACATGACCTGATCAAACCGCTTCTCAGCTGCATACGGCAATCCGTCCACCATGCCGATGCGTCGCCTCATGACGAGGTCCCGAACGGACCGCGACAACACAAGCCTCCTCGCCCCCGACACCTACGATGACGATGCTTCATCCTTGCACAGCCGGAGCGACCAGGACAGCGACAGCGATGACGACCAGCTGCAATTGCGCGCCCGCAACAGCCGCGAGCTGCGCGCTGCTGACAGCCTGTTGTTTATGGAGGAGGAGGAGGTCGAAACGCTCGTCGCGGAGACGCGCAAGAGGCAGGATTTGCAGCGCCAAGGGTCCGGTCTGGTCGTGCCGAACCCCCTGAAGCTGTTCGGGCGCGGCGCCGACGGCCAACGTCCCGGATCCAGCAACGGTTCGTCCGAGGATCTCTTCAACGAGAAGGACAAGCGCCAACAGCGCCGCTCCAGGAGGAAACAGAAGAAAGAGCGTCTGCTGGAGAAGGCGATCCACGGCGAGGATGGCGAATTGATGTACGAGATGGAAGAAGGGGGCATGAAGGATGGCAGCTCGACCGGCGACAGCAGCGAACGAGACGATAGCGAAGAGATTGACCGGCACCGACTGCAAATGCTGGCAGACGCCAAGACGGATAAGCGACGTTCTTGGCGCCGGTGGCTGTTTCTACACGGCATGATTGCTGTCGGCTTCGCGATACTTGTCTTGGTGGCGTGGAAGTTGTCTCTGGGGAGGAAGTCGGCGCACAAGGTGGAGCTGGTCAGCAATGGCACGGCCCTCTTTGCGCCGACAACGATCATTATCAGCCTCGATGGCTTCCGCGCCGATTTCCTGCAGCGCGGCATCACACCGAGACTAAATACATTCGTTAAGGAGGGCGTGTCGCCAAAGCACATGCTTCCGGCTTTCCCGTCCGTCACGTTCCCGAACCACTATACGCTGGCGACGGGCCTACACCCCGAGAGTCACGGAATCGTGGGGAACACCTTCTGGGACCCCGACATGCAGGCCGAATTCTATTACACCGACCCAGGGCGCAGTCTCGACCCCAAATGGTGGAAGGGCGAACCCTTCTGGGTGACAGCTGAGAGGCAGGGCATCCGATCCGCGGTCCATATGTGGCCCGGCAGCGAGGCGCACATCCTCGACGTTCAGCCGACCTTCCTGGACAGGTTCAACGGCAAGGAGGCGCTGGACAACAAGGTCAGCAGGATTCTCGAGTTCCTCGACAAGCCCGGCATGGAGGACAAGACTGCCAAAGTCGAGGACATGCGGCCCCAGCTCATTGCTGCGTACGTGCCCAACGTCGACGCCGACGGTCACAGATACGGGCCCAACAGCACCGAGATCCGCGTCACCATCGAGGCCACTGACGCCATGATGGACAAAATCTTCCTCGGACTCGAGCAGCGCAATCTGACCGGCATCGTCAACGTCATCGTCGTTTCCGACCACGGCATGGCCACGACGGATACAACGCGGCTGTTGCAGCTCGAGGACCTCGTCGACACCTCCAAGATCGAGCACACGGACGGCTGGCCTCTTTACGGGCTTCGCCCGAAGAACCCCGATGACCTTCAGGGGCTCTATGACGGTCTGGCCGACAAGGCTAAAACGAACCCCAACTTCGATGTTTATCTCCGAGATGTCAACATGCCCGAGCGTTACCACTTCTCCAACAACAAGCGCATCGCGCCCCTGTGGATCATCCCCAAGGCCGGATGGGCCATCGTCACCAAGGACGAGCTGGAAGTGGCGAAGGCGGTGAAGGATGGTTCGGTTTACAGCCCCCGCGGCCTGCACGGTTATGATCACGAGCACCCCCTCATGCGAGCCATCTTCATCGCCCGCGGTCCAGCTTTCCCCCATCCTCCGAACAGCCAAATTGATGTCTTCCGTGAGTAGAGTCCCCCGTAGTTCTTTGCTCACAGCGGTCAGACTAACGCGAGCAGAAAACATCAACGTATACAACATCTTGTGCGACTCCGTTGGTCTTATTCCCGAACCGAATAACGGAACTCTGCGTCTGCCCCTCTCCCCCATTGGCACTCACAAGCCCGAGGACACACCGGCAGAGCCCGAGGACCCGGTTCCTCTATACACGACTACCGCTTCTGAGGCTGTCTCTTCTGAGGCCGCCGCGATGACGACATCACCGGCAGCTCAATCAGCAACCCCGGTGAAGCCTGTCCAGGTGGACCCTGTTCCCCCGTCCTCGTCGACGGAGGCGGTGGCGACAGACGGCAACCAGAGCGAAGGGGGCGAAGACAGCCAAGACGCCGACGAGGACGCCGTCCAAAAGGGCAAAGAAGCCATGAAGGGGATCTGGGACTGGCTCGCGGACAAGTTTGGCAAGGTATGGGATAAGCTTAGCGGGTCAAAGGGGGACAAGGAATCAGGAAGTACGGAGGAGGGGTCGGAATGATTTTCCCGGTTCGGGGAGTGGTGTTTTGATGACTTTTGGCGTTCAGGATTAAGCGGCAAGTTTGTTCTTTGGCCGCATTGATACTCCCGGTAATCTGTGTACTCGATGTAAGCGGACCGTCATCATTCAATTTCTTTCTCTTACTTTTTGTCCTTGACAAGCTCCGCCCTTCCTTCTCTGTGAACCTTGGTGTTCGGTCCATTGTGACCTGTTTGCGTGGACGAAATGAAACTCGACTGTTGATTGTGGCCCCTGTAGGCTCAATCTTCAAGGAAATGATGGGCGGTGTTGTGAGCAAAGCAGCCTTGAGTTTCTGTTGAGAATGTAGCCGGATGGTGTGGTCACAGGATTGATGAGTGTCAATGGCGGCGCAATGCAGGAGGCGATAGAGGGGCCAAGGAATCATATGATCGCATGCGGTCTAGTACTTCTCAAAACACTATGAGAGGCACTTGTCCGAAACCAAGCATCAGTAGATGGGTTCATCCTCGCCTAACGCTTTTGCGGGATTACGACTATCCATAACAATATCTCGCTGTCGGGTGCTGCCTCTTGCGTACTACAAAGTCACTGCGCTCAAGGCTGACATCTCGGTATTTCCTGGTACAAAATGTTAGCCTAGCTATCAAGGAGACCGTTGACACGACTTGCCAATGCCGAAATGAGAGATCTGCCGGTCAGTTGTGAGATTGGTGGTTATGAACCCCAATCAGCCGCTAATTCGATGACCGAGCCAGATGGAGCCCTCAACATCAACGCCGCAATGAACGAAATTTCGGCTTGCGAAACAATTCCTTATCGAAGCCCATGATGAACGCTAGATTTACGTGAGATGCGAAGTTCCCATTGGCGCGGACCTTGAGAGCGTTCGGGGTAGGATTGTCGCTCACGAGCCCGTGTTCGTTGGCCATGTCCTGCTCAGCTCAAGGGCGTTTTTCGGTTGACAGTTTGGTACCTGACTCTTGGTAAGTCTGTACGTCTGTTTGAGCTGAAAGCATGTCTCACTCAAAAGCAGGTCTATAGCGGTCCTGATACCTCGCACCAAACCCACCCCGTAACACGCAAAGCATTCATGATTTTGAGCTCGACTTTACTTCAGGTTCGGGTGGAATACCGAACTGGACGAATGAACGATGAATGGGGAAGACCCCCTCCCATGGTTCAAATCCCTGAAGCGTCTGTCTTACACAGCGGAGTTTGATAACAACGGATGGACGCATTGTGAAATCGTCCCATATGGCGACATCCCCTTTTCGGAAGATTGTCGTCCTGAGAGGTGTGTCGGCGCCAATGGCGGTAATACGATCGTACTCAGGGACACCAGGAACGAAGTCTCTGATGATGCGGACCTTCATACGAATGTGAACCGCGGGAATTACGATTCTGGGATGGCTGCCCTCGAACATAGGGACACGCCGCTCACGCCGCTCGCCTCTCGCGTGATACTCCTGGACGGCGAGGGGAGTAATTGTTACCCATTCCCTGTCGTCACCGGGCTTCCGGAAAGGAGCTTGGCTTCGATGGAGCAACACGGGGGCGCCTTTCCGAAGCGTGCAGTCGGCACTACTCGAGTGTATGAATAGGTAAGGCCCTTTGATTTCTGCTTCGGCCGTGTTCCAGTAGTCCATTGTTGTGGAGGGTTGTGGGGACTAAGTCAGTGTCTGTTGAGATCGATACACGGAAAGGCGCTATTGATATAATTCTCCCAAGTAAGGCTTTCGAACACGCCGGATATAGCAAATCAAATTAAAAGCTGTCGCTGCAACGATTGATTGCTATCGTCCTGGTGGGGTGTTTGTTGAGGAAGACCTCCCATCCAGCCTCTGCGGCCGAAGAGACAAGAACTGCTCCTTGGACCATATGGGAATTAACTCAGATTATGCTATAGAAGCGAACCAGAAAGGATGAATGGGTGACATGGAACTCATTGGTGGTAAGTTGGAAGCAGTCTTTTGGTATATTTCAGAGGAATACAGGGAAGGCACTGAGTGTGGACATCTTCACGGCACAACATTAGTCACCATCGCAATTGCCACAGTTTACAAGGCCATATTTTTTTGAACAGAAACAATATTCAACGGTCGACCTTGTAAGGGAAGGCACGAGTTACTTTTGTAATACTGGTCCCCAAGCTGACGATCCAAACTCCAGCCAGTTACTTCAGACACAACACTATTGCTATCCAGAAGCCCTGCAATTGTCTGATTCAGGTCAACGGGTCACAGCTAAGCCCGCCGGCGCCTGTTTCCTTACTCGAAAGCCCGGGAGTTGCTGTCATGTCTCATCAGCTCGATTTCAGACCGAAGAATTGTTTTGAAAGCGAACTGTCAACAGACGAAGACATCCCAAGATCGGCTATGCCACGAGATAGGAGGTTGGTCTTTCCCTGCCGGATGTATTCACCGTCAAACTTAGGCATCATATGTTTTCATGTCATGTTGCGTCTTGTCCATCTTTACTCCCCTAAACAAATATGTTCGATCACTTCACCGAGAAGCAATGTACCCGCCATTCTGTGCTTTGTTGTGTCCAAGGACATGTCTAACAAACGAAGGTCGATTCGCGCTTCGCCGAACTCATGGCAGGTCTTTAGCGCGCCAAGAAATGCACCCTACTACGCAAGCTGAAGCAATTGACTGCTCCCCAGGCAACAGACCCTTCTTGCAGAAAGTGGACCCATGAGACGTGAGTTCTTCCACCTCTCGCAAGTCCGGCCTCGAATATTCGCTCGAGGTAGGGAGGCTTCCGAGACGCTGACTGGTTCTCAACACAAGAGGAAAGCACAGACGGTGGGGCGGGATCCCGGTCCAGAGATTGAATGTATCTTAGGAGTTGTCGCTGGTTGAGTTTGAGCAGTCCTATCGAAGTCGTCCTGGTATTAGGAAGCAACGGCTTGATGTGGTTGTCTTGTTGTGAAAAGACACTACAGCCAGAGAATGAATATAGCTAGCAGTGGCTCGTTACAATTAAGAGTACACGCAATCTGCGGTCCTGAATCTACCAAACGCAGACCCTGACAGAGGAGCCACTGGGCGGCATGTGGCGCTCCAGTCGTATTGCAGAAGATGCTCGCGAACATTTCGTGGTGGCCCGCCGGCTGGTTCGCCGGACGGGAAACGGTACGTACCGGATTTAAGGTTGGCGGCGGAGGTGGTGGCCCGCCAACAGGGAGGTTGATCCTCCTCGAGCAGGTAAAAATAAATACAGATCACGTGAAATATCTCTCTGATTGAAGCTGGTGGGGTCGATGCATGTCGTAGTAGCCATCCGACGTCATCGCCAGGCCTTTGGGAGACTAACAACATACTACGTACAAATACACGTTACCTACTACAGGTGAGTCCAGTCGAACAAGGACAACAAGACGGAAAAGAAGATGTGATCGGGATGGCTGGAAGGACAGCAGCAACAAGGCCGAGCGATATCACGTGAGGATCGTTCGTGTCTCAGACTGTCGCACGTAGCCTTATCTCACCCCTCTGGATTGGAGGGGCAAAGCACCCCTCGTTTTACCTTTGTGTGCAGCCATAAGCTCGGCGCATGTAAACCGGGCAAGATCCATCGTCCTATCAACTCATTTCGGAACCGCTGTTGCTCGGATCGAAAATTCGGGTTACTTTTTTTTTTTTTTTTTTTTTCGAGACGCTCGATGCCATGGCAAATCTGCACGTTGCCGCGATGCGACCTCTCCAGGAAGAGAATTGCCCTTGTTGGGCGGCGGCGCAGGCGCTTAGACTGCACGTCACCATGGATGTTTGTTTGCCACCCTTGTCTTTGCAAGATCAGATTTTTCTCTCCTTCTCTCTCACACCGAACCCCGCACTGCCTGGGTTTCCCTCCAGCCACAATTGTCAGAATTAATGCGTGCAGGTTGTGCCGAGCATTGAATTTTTTCTTCTTCTTTTTCTTTTTGCTCCTTCGCCAGCCAAACCTGTCAGAGGCGCCCGGCTTCATATTTTCCTCTTCTTCTTCTTCAAGCGGATAGGCGCTTTCCGTTCACTAGGTGATGGCTACCGGGATATGCTAGAGACTTGGAGAGAAACAAGGACAGGCCCAACGGGGGAACCTTGGGCTACTGTGGGCTGAACCACGGCATCGTCGTACACTAACTACTACTCCGTACATCACACTCCTATGCAATACCTCAGGCTGTATACAGCCGTGCGGAAGAGCCAGATTCCTACGTGACTCATGCCGAACGAGGGTTGGGCTCAAACCAGAGAGCAATGGGTTCCAGGTTGGGCTGTGCGGCGACCTTGGTGACTGACAAGGATGCGTCTAGAGGAGGGGTGGAGGGGCAGAACGAGTAGCTGTGGGAGCCTTATCGCTAGGCAAGTAGTCCCGAAGTACCTCTGAGGGGGGAGGGAGGAAGAGAAGGGGGGAAAAAAGATTTTTTGCGAATCTATGGGATGGGACCAAACGGCTAGGCAGGGTGGAATGGGCGGCAGCATTGAGATGAGACGCGTCTGAGGTGGCCAACAAAGCAGGAGGTCCCATCGGCCGTGCCTTCCCCCAAGAAGAAGGCGGCTAGCTGGGGCCCATGGAAAATTGATCGTGATGAGGGCGCTGTTCAATTTCCTCGAGTCGAGGGTTGACATCACGGATCTGCAGCAGAAGGCCCAGAGCTCTCTCTCTGGCGGGGGTGAGGTGAGGTGAGGCCACGGAGGCGGCATGTCTGCCCGTTTGCGACCATGCAGGCCACGGTGTTGCCCCGCGAACACAAGCCGGCGGATGAGTATTACCCCTCCATTCCATTTCTGCCCCTCCAAAGGCCACCACACCAGTCTAGGACATCAGACATGACGCCCGCATGCTCATTGTGTTTGTAGCTGGTAGTAACTAGGCAGCCATGGTCTGTATGAGAGAGAGGTGGCATAAGAAAACCAAGCGTATAAAAGAGAGAGACAGAAGCCTAGGAGTATCCAAAGGCATCATCTCTGAGGAGGCCATACCGCTCTTTCTATGCAATTCGGTGCAATGAGGGGCTGTCTGTGGAGGGCGGGTGCATGGTGGTTGCCACACCCAAGCGGAGACTGAACGCAACCCACGAGATACTTCGTGAGACCACCATTTTGCTAACGGGTCAGCCAATCAGGTAGAACCAAGACAATAATAAAAAAATCTGGCGCACAAAACCTAGGGCATTCACCTGGAAAGAGCGGCCGGTCCCACGCTAGCCCCTGCCAAAAACTTTTCAAGCCCCTCTTCTTACCTCGACCCCTCCATCCACCCACCCATCCCACCATTCCGCACACCAGCCCACGCAAATAAAACCCTCTGCATCACCCATCCCTCTGCTCGTTCTCCTCTTCCGATCTTTGTCTGCTACATACCGATTCTTTCTGCGAATCATCTGTGCAGTGAGTTCTAACCATCTCTCCCTCATCGGCTTCATCAGGCAAGACCACAGTATCTAACAAATCTCATCAGCTTTCACCTCTCAAAACCACACATCTCGATCCAGAACCGCCAAAATGGGTAAGGAAGAGAAGGCTCACATCAACGTCGTCGTTATCGGCCACGTCGATTCCGGCAAGTCGACCACCACTGTAAGCAACTTCCCTATGAAACACCTCATCATCAACACCCTTGACTGACTGTCTTTCGCAATAGGGTCACTTGATCTACCAGTGCGGTGGTATCGACAAGCGTACCATCGAGAAGTTCGAGAAGGAGGCTGCCGAGCTCGGTTAGAAACCCCGCCTCATCCTTGGCATCGAGGCATTCGACTGACATATTCCCACAGGCAAGGGTTCCTTCAAGTACGCGTGGGTTCTTGACAAGCTCAAGGCCGAGCGTGAGCGTGGTATCACCATCGACATTGCCCTCTGGAAGTTCGAGACTCCCAAGTACTATGTCACCGTCATTGGTAAGCTCATCTCATCCACTTACTCCCCAGCTCATCGACATCGCCACCTGTCCTTCACCCAATGAGTCGAATTTCATCCATGATCATCTGCTAACCCATTACAGACGCTCCCGGTCACCGTGACTTCATCAAGAACATGATCACTGGTACTTCCCAGGCCGACTGCGCCATTCTCATCATTGCTGCCGGCACTGGTGAGTTCGAGGCTGGTATCTCCAAGGATGGCCAGACTCGTGAGCACGCTCTGCTCGCCTACACCCTTGGTGTCAAGCAGCTCATCGTTGCCATCAACAAGATGGACACCACCAAGTGGTCCGAGGCCCGTTACGAGGAAATCATCAAGGAGACCTCCAACTTCATCAAGAAGGTCGGCTACAACCCCAAGACCGTTGCCTTCGTCCCCATCTCCGGTTTCCACGGCGACAACATGCTTGCCCCCACCACCAACGCTCCTTGGTACAAGGGTTGGGAGAAGGAGACCAAGGCCGGCAAGACCACCGGCAAGACCCTGCTTGAGGCCATCGACTCCATCGAGCAGCCCAAGCGCCCGACAGACAAGCCCCTCCGTCTTCCCCTCCAGGATGTCTACAAGATCGGTGGTATTGGCACAGTGCCCGTCGGCCGTATCGAGACTGGTGTCCTCAAGCCCGGTATGGTCGTTACCTTCGCTCCCTCCAACGTCACCACTGAAGTCAAGTCCGTCGAGATGCACCACGAGCAGCTCACTGAGGGTCTTCCCGGTGACAACGTTGGTTTCAACGTGAAGAACGTCTCCGTCAAGGACATTCGCCGTGGCAACGTCGCCGGTGACTCCAAGAACGACCCCCCTGCCGGCGCTGCTTCCTTCAACGCCCAGGTCATCGTCCTTAACCACCCCGGTCAGGTCGGTGCTGGCTACGCCCCCGTCCTCGACTGCCACACTGCCCACATTGCCTGCAAGTTCTCCGAGATCCTCGAGAAGATTGACCGCCGTACCGGAAAGTCCGTTGAGAACAACCCCAAGTTCATCAAGTCTGGTGACGCCGCCATCGTCAAGATGGTTCCCTCCAAGCCCATGTGTGTTGAGGCTTTCACCGACTACCCCCCTCTGGGACGTTTCGCCGTCCGTGACATGCGTCAGACCGTCGCTGTCGGTGTCATCAAGTCCGTTGACAAGTCCGCTGCCACCGGTGGCAAGGTACGTTTTCATTCCTCACTCATGCCTTTGAAAGCCATTCCTAACATGTTCATCAATAGGTCACCAAGTCCGCTGCCAAGGCTTCCAAGAAATAAGCGGCTTGACTCACCAGGGTTGGGTTCTGAGTACGCCCATGGCTTCGCTGCCATGGATACTCGCTTCTACGGCTTTACGAATTCCCTTTGCGTGGCATGAGGACATATGAACATGGCTGGGTAGCACGAATATCGAGAGGAAGGATGGACCGGATGATTCTACGTCAAAAAAACTTCTCATGATACGTGCTGAGTAGCACAAAAATAGAGTCCTAGAAGTGATTCCCAAGTTACATGATTGTGCCTCCCGCTTTGTGATGTGATACTTGTGATTCTGCTGTGGCCTTATTCTAAACTGTTACCTACTAAGTACGTGTCTAGTTTCCAGATGGCCTTGCCCATGAAGCTGTTTAGCTGGTCGTTGCATTCAGTATGAGCTCCCCGGCGTGAAAACCGCGGCGGCGTTGAGGACTACTCCCAGATAGCTGGGTCCTCAATTAGTACGTGCTGTGTGGAAGTCTTGTCTCATCCCGTCGGCCACTGTGAGCGGCCAAGGTCATGTCCCGCCTCATGTGGCAACTCACCTCTTTCGATAAAGCTCGATATCGTTCTCTGTCTGGGTCCGTTATAGATTCGTCTCCCCGGAAGTGAAGGTTTCGGCGGCTGCCTCGCGCCGACGTTACGCCTGTACACATTGAGAGTATCGCCTGATCGCCTCCCCCATGAACATTGCAAAGCTCGAATCGGCCTCTTGTACAGGAGATATATATTACACTTGATACAATGTTTTGCTACACAGATATTTACATGTCGTCCTTCTTTTGCGTCTCGGCCTCCTCCCCCTCCTCCTCGGCAGCGGCGGGATCGACATCGCCAGTGTCGACGTTTTCAAACTCTCGCGCTACATCCCTCTCCCCGACCCACTTCACGACCTTCCCCGTCACTAGGTCGTGTGCCAACGCGAGGTACCTGTTGGCGTAGGCTTTTCCCACCTCGTCAGGCGCATCATCATCGGTTGGCAGCGCCTCAAAAACGAGCTCCGACCGCCGGCCGCCGTGCAGACCCGCCTCGACACTCGTGTAATGGACCTTGTGACCCTGATACCTGACACCCAAACTCCGACGGATCTCGAGACCGGAGAAGACGTATGTGGCTGCCCCACCAAAGACACCGGCGCCCTCCGTAGATGGAAGACCGGAGAGCTCGATCTCTGGTGGCGGGCGCAAACGGCCCGCTGCAAGGTCCAGCTTCGCATTTTTGGCATACTCGCAGAAGGGAGACGCGTCGAGGGCAGCAGGTGACATTACCGAGAGCCACGACTGGGACAACCGCATGTCGACGGGCTCAGATGGGTAAGCGACGTCGGTGAAGGTCTGATCGAGGACGGCGACGAGGTCTTTTTCGCAGGCGTCCCAGCTCAAAGGGCCCTCGGGAAGTTCCCACGGAACGACGAGGCGTAGCTTGAGAAGATGGGGCAGGCCTTTCATGGCATACAAAGAAGGATGTCGACGGAAACCAAGCACAAGAGTCGTCTGCATTGGCTGTGTTGGGATTGTGGTAAGTGCCTCTTCCAGGGCATTAAGGCTTGTGGGATGGGGGGACGTCGGCGAGAAGACGTGGTTCTTGGCCTTGGCCGCCACGGCCAAATTGAAACCATCCTGCTTCCTGTGAAGGATCTTCCCGAAGGAGGCGACGGTTGAGGTGTATCTCTTGCTCCAGGTAGCGTCGGAGTCTTGAACGAGGCGTTGTATAGGATGAGAGAAAACGTCGCTGGCCTCGAGAGGGAATCCAGACTCTGCTGGAGAGACGCGACCAACCGGGGCCACATAGCGAGACCATTGCGTAAGTCTGTCCTTCCATGAAAGCTTTTCTTGCCCGCTGCTTTCGGGGATTAGTTTACCGTTATCATTCTTCGGGTCGTACTGGAGAGAGACGGATGCATCTTCAGGTTGTAAGGCGGTGTACAAGAGACGCTGAACAACATTGTCCAACTGTTCGCCAGCATCGTTTTCCTCCACGACTCCGTCGTTGAACCATGAAATGCGAAGCTTTTTCGCCGTTAGACATGGCTGTCACTGCTACGGGAAGAGGTTCCACTTACGGTATGTGTCTTGGTGCTAAACGTGATAAACGTGTTGGTGAGCTGGCCAAGATGATGCAGCAAGGTGGAGCGAACGTCGTAGTTGGAAAGCCAAGGGGCATGGACATGTTTGGTAACGACAAGCTGAGCGGCCTCGTCCAGCTTCTTCAGGATTGTCTCCGTCTTGGCTTTGGTGGATGTGATCCTCAGTCGTTGGTTGGTGAACTGTATGTCTTCACCCTCGTCGAGGTAAGCATCCCTGATGGCGTCGAGTCTCTGACGGTCCCCTATCGCACGTTAGACAACATCAGATTAGTCGACTGGACCACTTACGCGCTAACAGAGCATGAATCCTTTCCTTGATCTTGGCGCTGTAGAAGCCGGTGCCGTCAACCATCTCCCTGATTCTCAAACGCCAAGCCTCGATCATGAGGGTCAAGGCAAGTCTCTCCTTGGGAGAGCCGGCAACCTCCGGCTTCAGGAAGGGTGTCCAGGGGTTCTCATCCTGAATCCAGTCGTACTGCAACACCTTCTCCCCCACGGGCGTTCTTCGAGCCTTCGCATTCTCACGCGCAAGATATGCCCTGAGCTGAGCAACCGTGAAACCGTTGAGGAGCACCTCCAGCAGCCCGTCGAACTCGCTCTGCGAAACGATGGGTTCGGTGGGACGGACACCGTCAACGTTGGCCAGAGCCTCCTCCATTGTGAGGTCCTTCGCTTCCGCTTCAAGTGATGCCTTGAGATCAAAGTCCGGAGCCAGGGGCTCTTCGACCGGCAACTCCCTTAAAGCCCTGGAGTTCCCGCTCGTCTCGCGCATGACGATTGCCCGCGCCTTCTCTCCTAGCATATTGACGTCCAGCTCCTGAGACTGCAAGTATACGCTGCGCTTTCCTAAGCGCCGGTGCTCGCGGCGACCCCTGTGGTCCCTGACGAAAAATGGCTCTCTGATGAGGGGCTTGTCTTGCGTGGCGGGCTCCGTCTCACTCGAAGGTCCATTTAACCCTGATGCCGCAGACGGCGAGGAAGCAACTGGTTGCGCCTGAGGCGGCTCATCTTTCGGAGACACGCCATCGCTTCGAGTGTCTTTGATACTATTCGATGAGTCTTTCTCGCCATCACTTGCTGTCTCAATTCGGTCCCAAGCCGAGTCGGCGCTGTATAACCGTCGCTGGAGGAAATCGGTTCGGAAAGGGGGGATTCGAAGTGAGCTATTGGCTCTCGGTCGGTCGAGGAGTCGCAGTTGACATCGCAGACACACACTTCGAGCGTAAGAAGCTCGAGAAAACATTGGGAAGAAAACAACAAAAAGAGTACGCTGCACACCTTTCGAATGCTCATTCCGAGACGACTGCGACAAACAAGCATGTTACGATCCAAAGCTCCCTAAATTTTGCGACAGGTCGGCGTTGATTAGATAACAGATAAGATAAGAAATCGGAGGAGGGCGGTGGTGCGAAGTAAAGTGCCCCGCCCAAAACCGCGTCGCGTCAGTTCGAATCGCACGTCACTTGCTTTTGTGAACGGAGAACAGCAGAGCCTTTTATTCATCACTAAGTGTCTACCTGAGCTCTCGTATCTTAGACGCAGTAGTTTTACTGATATCGTCGAGGTTTTCTACTCGTAGAAATAAAAAAAAATAAACCAAATGCCTCCTTTACAAAGAAGACGACGACAGGTACGACCCACACCTTGGTTGTAGACACATTCTTCTATAATTGCTAACAGCGATCAGGTGGAGGATGAGGACTCAGAAGAGGAAACCAGACACCCCAGACAGCGCCGAAGTCGCGAAGCATCCAACGAAGATGACGAATCCGAAAACGATGCCGTAGATGCCGCCGTTAGCGCAGAAGACCAGCTTGCGAAGAAACTGGTACGCTACGCTCTGGCTTGCGAGTTCTCTCGGACGCCAATCCGTCGAGACGGAATTAAGGAACGAGGTGAGAAGCTGCATGGGTGGATTCCGCGACCCTGAGATGTAGCTGACATGTCACCAGTTCTTGGTGATCAGGGTAGAGCCTTCAGGAAAGTTTTCGAACTGGCACAACAGCAACTCCGCGCTGTCTGGGGTATGGAATTGCAGGAACTCGCAGTCAGAGAAAAGTTCACAATGGCAGAGAAACGTCAAGGCAGGTCTCGAGCAGAGTTGGAAGTGCGTGGCAATTGTGACTAACACCATACAGCATTAAAATCCGGCTCCCAAGCAAAGACCAGCTCCGGCGTCTTCGTCCTCTCCACGACACTCCCTTCCCGATACCGCGCCCCGGCCATCATCACCCCTTCCAAAGCGCCAAGCATTGAAGCCGAAGCATCGTACACGGGCTTCTACACCATGATTATAACCATCATTCTCGCGAGCGGCGGCGAACTGTCCGAACAGAAGCTGCGGCGGCACCTCAATCGCCTAAACGCCGAGGCCAACGTCGCATCGGAGAGGACCGAAGACGTGCTGAAGCGCATGCAGATGCAGGGGTACGTCGTGCGTAAGGTGCAGAAGAACGCGGCAACGCAGGCGCAGGACGGCAGCGAGGACGTCACTTGGCTCGTCGGCCCGCGCGGGCTCGAGGAGGTTGGCGTTGATGGGGCAGCAGGCATGGTACGTGCTGTGTATGGTGAGCAGGCGGACGCGGATCTGGAGAAGAAGATCGGGGTAACTTTCGGGATTCAGCCAGTCGAAGATGCTGATGGCGACGTAGACATGTCGCAGGCTCCGGAGGCCGGCCCGTCGCATTGAGGGAACGCACAGAAGCATGGAAAGGTCGCGCATGGCAGGGGAACGACGGCCAGGATTGGTGGAATGGGATACCCAAGAAGTAGCAAGCGTTTTGAGCGCATGAGTGCATGAACAGCCAGTAGACACCGGCAATGGATTTTCGGAGGTATCTATACCCTTCTTTATCGATCCCAAAACAAAGATGTCGCCTAACGCCGGTGTGCCTGCCCAATAATTTTTACCATACTTGAATTCCCTTTCCTCTCAACAACGCGTGGGTTCATCGCTAATCCTCGCGTGCTGGTGGTGGGCCAGCCGGCTGCATCATTTTCTACCAGCAGTCAGCCATTGTTCATAGCACGATCTGGCCGTGAAGGACAGTTGGTACATACCCTGATAAGCCTCGCTCGGAGTAGTTGTGTGGGCTCGTTCTCGGCTAGAGCCATGTATGAGAGCATCGGGGGGTGGCCGGCGATGGAAGAGTACGTGTCGCGGTAGATGTTCGTTTTCCATTCCCAACTGGTAGTATCGGGGTGCCCCGTGCCGACATACTTGGCCTGAAGGCGCTCAAGCTCTTGCTGAGTACGGAGTTTGTCGGCCTGTCACAATACCCATCAGTAGCTGTTTCCTTTGCAAGAATGCGCACGCCTAACTCACCATGTTGTCTTTGGATTTGGCTGTCGCGAATGTTGATGGTTGCTGCCGAAATCTAAAGCTTCACGGCACCAAAGCCTCTGTCATGGATGCGCCGGCTGAAGTTCGGCAGACCTTCGCGAAGCGCTGGAGAGGGCCGTGCACCAGCTCAAGTACATATCACGGCACCCCTGACCTCCACGATCCACATTTCTTCACTTCGTTTCCAGATTCACTCTCAAGTAATATCCTCAGCAGCAGAATCACCTTCGACAAATCACACTATATCAATATTCGGGTTTTATTCGCTTTAGATCAATTAGCAACTTGCAAACGTTCCCCATCGAGCGTCATCATCCGCGCCACACACTATCGTCTGCCACTTCGAAGATATCACCAACATGAGCAAAAGCAAACCAGGGGCTTTACAAACCAAGCGGAAAAAGCAGCGTCAGGCAGCCCAGTCCGTCGAAAAGCTTAAGACCAAGTGCGCTCAGGAACATGGGAAGGCTCATGTAGCGCACTGCAAGGATTGCTATGGGGATGTTGTGGAGACGATGAGAAACAGATACATCGGCTCTAAGGACGAGTGGTTCTCCGGTAACAAGGCCTTTCTGAACGATCTCGATAGCTTGTTCGCGAAGGTCAAGGACTTCAAGGAAGACCTCAAGGCCATTGAGGCCCGGATTGACAAGGAAAAGCAAAGGCACTACCGCGAGTCCCTCCCCAAGTCAGCAGCGGGGCGCGTCGCCGAAGCCGCGATAGGCAGGGCCGTATTTCAGGCTGCTCTGGAGGACGAAGAGAAGCCGACGTCTTCACTTATCGAGGATGTCGAGAGAGCCGTTAGCAAAGGAGTCGACGACGCACCGAGTCTCGAGGGTCTGGCACCCATGTTCGATGACCTAGTCCTCGACAAGGAGGCCGACGTCCTCATCGACGTCTTTTTCCGAGATCCCAGGACAGGCGAGGTTCCTGCATCATGCAAAAGTTATGTGGAAAGGTTGCGCTCAGGTGCCTCTATCGAAGATGTTATGTCTGCCATAGCGGCCGACAGCTCAGCTAGGTCTCAGGCCTCAGCTAGCATGGACAGGCACAAACGGACGCTCAATGAGCTTAAGAGGGCGCAGGCGGCACATGAGCAGGATAAGCTCCTGAAAGCTCAGAAGCGGCAGCAACCCCCTCCGCAGGGTCCTCAGGTCAACAAGGAACTGTACGATCTTCCGCCGTGTCTCGCATGCTCAGGCAAGGTATCGCCGGACGAGGTCATCGCGTGTCCCTTGTGCTTGATCTTCGCCGAACTAAGCCTGACTAAGAGGACGGTCTTCGACTCAGAGAAGTGCTACGAAGAGGCATATGTGAGACTTGCATGATTGACCATTGTGGCGAGCTGTATACTGACAACTACCCAGGATGAGCACGTTCAGACGGCACACAGCTGCGCCGCCGGCGAAGGATGCGTTCAACTCAAGGACGAGGATGAGGAAATGGGCGGCAGTGGCGAAGGGCCCGTCATTTGTGAAGAGTGCGCAGAGCAGCTAGGGCAAAGTATAGTCTACTGCTCATCACGCTGCGCAAGTGCCGATTTCCAGGAACACCGAGAGGGCGTTCACATTCCAAATTGGAAGGGGCTTGGCATCGATATCGGCACCCAGGGAGAGCATTTAGTCTACGACAACGACGATAAGTCCAAGTACCATGTAAACGACATTTCAAAGTTCGTGTGGCGGCTTGACGAGGCTTTCGCGCGCGTCTTCAAGAGCAACAACCCTGATATCAAAGACATCCAGCATTAGAAACGTGCAACGGCTGGCTGCTGCTTTGAGCAATAATGGAATCGCTGGCTACCATTCTCAATGTCGAGTTTCAAGACAGGACTCTAAGAGAGTTATTTCCGTTCGGTACAATAGCACGTCATCTTCGATTCCGAACAATTGAAGTAAAAACAAAAACAACCGGATTGCCGACTTGGTTGGCGTAAGATAACTCTTTCTTGCCCAACGATCATGCCGTGTTGAATAGCTACGTCAACGGGCAAAGGTGACACGAGTCTTTCCGATGCGTGTCGATTGGGTACGGTCTTGTTAGTACGTATGGTTGCAACATGCCGAGAGCCCACTTCAAGTCTCATACACTCCGATGCGGTTCGGAACTTGAGGTTAGTGCTGTGGTCGCCCGAGCCAAGACAATATAGGTTCTAGCGCCTCAGCCCACCTAAAACGTGCGAGGCCCCTATTGGCAATCCGCCCTAAGAGCGGAGGTCTTTCATGGCTTGGAGCAGGCATTCTCCAATCAACAACATCCGGGGGTACTCGGAGGATTCATCAACCCATCAGCCGGGCTGAGTTCAGTTCCATTTTCAATTCCCCTTTCCCTCTATTCGGCTCGTGGCTTCGCGACTGCTAATCATCAGTTGAGAACTGAATCGGTCAAAGTTGTCCTCTGGATTACATCAATCCCCGACATAGTCTTTTGGCAACCATCGTGTCGAAACCCTGCCAATCCGGATGCGGAAAACACTTACTTTCCCTTCATCTATTTCGGAGCGGATACCTGGCTCTCCCCTCACCCTTACTGTCACGTTGAACCCTAGTCCATCGTTAAGTCTTCTTCGGTTCCCATTACATCATCATGGAGAGTATCATCGATGCCGATGCATCGGGCGCCCGCGCGACCTTGAGACAGAGAGTGACCAACGCCTGTGAAGCGTGCAGGGTGGCCAAGGTCAAGTGCCAGACCGGGATACAACCTGGAATCTGTCAAAGGTGTGTGATATGTACCCACCCTCGGCTCAGGACATATCCCCGACTTGGTTCGGCGTGTTAGTCGAGTTGTGTGCTGATCAGTCTGCCGAGGGAACCAGGTGTCTCGAGTTCAAGAGAGAATGCATCTTCCGCACCGGCCCCAGAACCCGCCGCCCGCGCCAATCCAGACTGTAAGCTCCTCGCTATTGACTTCCTGGACGGCAACTTCTGCCACAGACTTCCCGTGCCTCGTAGTCTTACTTACACTGCAATAGGAACCAGGACGCCCCAAGACCTCCTCCACCACCGGGGCCATCCAAGACCTTCAGCATTGACTTTGGCATGCCTCAGTTGGAAGAGCCCGACGACTTTGAGACTATTGCCGCACAACACGAGAGGTACTTCGAAGAGCTCATACCTTTGTCTGACCCGGAGTCCATCAACATCATGCTCGGCCTCGAGGACCCCGGTAGCGGGCCCTACTCTACCATATCAACCCCGCCGTCCTCAGGCTCAGGCCCGTCAATCTCCGTATCGAACCTCGGCCTCAAACCCCAGTTCAACCTCGACTCCGCCGAGAAACTTCTGCAGACTTTCCGCGCCATGTTGAAGCATTTTCCCTGCGTGGCACTTCCACCGGACGCTACGGTCATGTCTCTGTCCAAGACCAAGCCGTTCCTGCTTCTCGCCATTCTTTCAACGGCGTCCGCCTCCAGTGCGTTACAGGGACACACACTTTACGATGAAGAGTTCCGCAAGATCCTCGGCCTCAAATTCGTGGCTGGCAGCGAGCGAACCCTGGAGCTCCTCCAAGGCCTGCTCATCTATACGGCGTGGTACGCAAGCTCCTATTCCCTTGTTTCCCCTTAACCGCCTAATCAATCTCAGGTATCCTTTTCACCTCCGGCCAAAGAGCAAACAGGGCTTTCACTACGTCCGCATGGCAGCCGAGATCCTCCACGACCTCGGTCTCGACCACCCACCCTACCAAAACGCGGGCGTGTCTACCCCACCTATAGCGGACCAGATGGAAGGCATCCGCGCCTACTTGTCGTGCTACTATCTGGTTACAGCGCACGTGCTGCCCTACCTGCAGTACTTCCGTAGGACGACTCTGACCTTTTCCAGGTTCGCGATGGCATGGGCCAGAATGTCTCCAGCACGACTCCCGTACACCTCGTGGACCGGTACCTGCTGCGACCTCCTCGAGCGCAGCTCTGCTCTCAAGGGAGACCATACCCTTGCGTGGCTCGCAAGATTACTGCACATCACCGAGGAGGCGTCTGAGATGATGAAGAATGCTCCGGCCACGGAGCAGGCGAAACAACAGGCTCACTTCATGTTTCTCGGGCTCGATAGCCAGCTCAGGGAATGGCAAAACCAATTACCCAGCAGTCTAGGTGACGTTAGTGCGTATTGACCTAACACTCACATAGCTGAGTGTCTTTTGCTGAATCCATCTTAGATTCTATCAAAATTGCAACCCTGTTCACCGAAATTTTCCTCCTCGCCGGTCCCATCTACCGCCTCGCCTCCACATCGAAGATGGGCGATCCATTTCTCGGCCCGCCCATCCCCGCCCCGCGCCTCGAGCGTTGCCTGGTGCTCCTACGCAGCTTCTTCGATTTTACCGTCAACCTCGACAAAACCGCCTTCCTCGAGATGAGCTGCATCGATTGGTGCCGCTTCATTCAGGTCGTCATCGTTGCCGTCCGCGTGTCTTTTCCACTGCCGCTGTGTCCTGAGTGGGACCACGCGCGGGCTCGTGAACAGCTGCAGTTCGACTCCTACCTCGCCAAACTGTCGGCGCACCACGAGGAGTTGACGCCGTCGACGAAGAGCATGGACGTCTATTCTGCGAGCCAGGTCGTGTTCGCGGTTATCAAGCGCAAGTACGAGGGCCGCATGGCGAATATTTGTGCACCGGTGAACCAGCTGCCAAGGAGTATTCGCGGATGCCCCATGTTCGATGGGAGTCTGGATCCTTATTTTCCCATATGGGACCAGGACATCAACCTGACCGGCGCACACGGGTTGGTCCCGCCTGTGCTAAATGGAACGACGACGGCGGTGAACGGCCAGGATCTCTACAATGACCTGTGGGCTACGATGACCATGGGTCCAGAGGAGATGAATGGGGATTCAGATCAGGGTTTCGATCTGATCTAAGGGCAATATCCGCCAATATACTTGGATCCATCGTCCTCAGGGGACATGGCCACGGGCCCAACACCTACCGGTAGCGGATGAGCTTTCTAGCTTGCATGGTATCACACGCTTATCCTGACCACAGCTTCTGGCAGATGGAGGTAACCCCACGGCATGAATTGGACCTTTTGTGGGGGGTAGCAGCCTGCAGCCTCTTTCTTTCTCTCTCCCCATCTACTTCAAGTGCCAGAACGCCTACCCAGCCCAGTTCAGGTGGCAGGCTCCCAGAAGCTCGAGATGGCACCACGTACCTTCAACCAGAGTCGGCAGTAGCCGGCAGCCAGTATCAGAGCTCGCACGGCCTATTACGAGGGATGATGTTAAAGAACCTCACTATCTAGGGTGTCGTCGAAGATGAACCAGCAACTACTTTCAGAAGCATCGCGGCACCGACAAGAGGCGCAGAACCATGTCATCGTTCACTCTGGTTCTCGGGAGGTAGATGGGCATCTGCGTGATGCGTGCTATACAACCTCTTGTAGGAGGGTTCATAAAGCAATAATGACCAAATTCATTTATTATGTCCATGTAGCATCAAGCTTGTACGAAAACAGAAGCAGATGAAATAGTAGACCGTTTGTCTCTGATAAGCGACCGCTCATGGAGTCGTTCATTGAGTCTCTACAATTTATTCCTTTTGGTTTGCCTGGACTAGGACCGATATCAAGGTTAAGAGAGGTCTTTTGGCACCGTTTCAGCCAAAGGACCAACGTAAACGAATGATCCGGGCAGTGACACCAGGCCACCACGATAAGAGAGTCCTGCCTGTCGACAAACGCCATGTACAACCCAAACTGCTGGGAATTCCGGGCCGTAGTCTTCAGGAGCCCCAGGGGATAGTCGCCGGGCACCGGCACACACGCACAAGGTCGCCCATCCCGCATTCGCTCATTATCCTCGGTCCGGATGCCGTCCTTGCCGTGGTATGGGACAAACCTGCGCCGATATGACCCTAGAAGACAGACCGACAGTTCCTCGTCTCTTCGGCCCCGCGGCAGCAGGCGTCGTCTGGCGAAGACGTCAGCGGCTAACGGCTTGCGGTGGCGGCTTGCGCCCTCGTCCCTCCTCTTCGCCCTCCACCGTCGATGCCGTACTCCGAGCCCCTTAGAACGCCAACAAGAGAAAGGGAAATACAACGGGCCCGCGACGGAAATGCGGCAGCAGGGTTCGACTCGTGCCCTGAAAACCTCTGGGGACGATCATCCGTTGGAATACTGCAGACGGAAGAGCTCTAGGAGAGTCTGCTTGGGCTGCCCCGCTTACGGGAAGGCCCGCGGGATCGCACGCCAAAAGAAAAGAAAGTCACCAACAAGAACAATAATCGGTTGAGAGCCATTGGGTGTAAGCTTGTTTTGTCTCCCGCTCTTATCCCGATCAAAGTCCCCATCAGCCCTCCCAGATAGGGTTGTCGTCTATGGGAGTAAGTGACTGCCCTCCCAGGTCTAGCATGATGTTACCTCCGTCAATGCCCTCGCCCCCTGCCCTGACATATTCAGCAACTCCGTCCGCCTCGCCACGCATTTCACCTCCACCACATAAGAGGCTTTGTCAGGGTCGAAAACACATCACCGACCAGCCCAGCCCAGCCCTTGACATGTTCGATCGTGTTCACCATCCGGATCCACCGCCAGACAAACGCCTCGCAGTCCATGTAGTCCTCCGCATACACGTCCCACACGGCAACCTTTTCTGCCCCCTCGCCGTCCGCAATTGGCGGGCCCACGAGCAGCGCCCTGCCGACAATCGCCTCGTCCGCAACCAGCCTCGTCGTGGCATCAACGACGTCGTCGAGGCGCGCGGCGCCCGCACCGCCGCTCAGAAAGGCCGCCTCCGTGGGCGCCTGGAACATGTTGCTACCGCTGACGAAGTAGGGGCAGATCATGTTGAGCCGGATCCCGTGGCACAGGTGCGCGGTGGCGCGCATCGATCGAAACAGGCCCGTCACGGCGTGCTTGGACATGGTGTACGGCGACTGGCCCGGGAGGTGGCCCACGCCCGCGATGGAGCCGACGAAGATGAGGCACCTGTCCCTGGAGGTGCCGTTGCGCGGCAGCCAGAAAAGGGCGAGGTGCGCCGTGTACGACAGGCCGGTGACGTTGACGTCGATGATGGTGTTGGACGGCTTGCCGGGCGCGTCCGGGTCCGTCTGGAGGGCCGACGGGCTCTCGAAGCGGTAGTTAGCGCCTGGGTCGTTGACGCCCGCGTTGGCCACGACAACGTCGATGGCGCCGTTGGGCGAGAGACGGGCGCCCTCCTTAAAGAAGGCGACCTGCGAGTCCCAGGAGGTCACGTCGCACGTCACGAAGTGGTGGGAGCCCTTGGGGTTGTCAGTGCGCAGAGCGGCGACGAGGGTTTCGCCGACGGATCCGTTGACGTCCCCGACGATCACGTTGGCCCCGTGGGAAGCCCACTCCCGGGCAAAAGCCGCGCCCAAGCCCAGGGCGCCGCCGGTGATGAGAACCGTCTTGCCCGAAAGGGTGGAACGGTCGTAGGGCTCTGTGGTATCCACAGGCGGCGAGAGTTTCGTTACAGGGACGAGGTTATGATAGCCCTGTGCGATTGTCATGATGGGCAATCAGTGAGAGAATGACGGAACGGTGGAATGCTGGGTCTGCTGAGGAGCGGCTGTAAGCAACTCCCGAAGTACCATTCAATCGACAGTGGTGAACAAGGAAGCTTGTTGGGAGTAAGGCGGAATCGAGAGTGCGAGGAAGAGCTCTGGCCCAGGTGTTCCCCCGAGCTACAATATTCGAAGATAGTCAGCAGGAAGCAGAGTCCAAGGACGGACAATCGGGAACGAGGAGACGGCCATCTCGGGTCCCGGTCCCTCATAAGCGTTGCAATTGAAGGGAGGAGCAAGCATAAATAGATTTTGACCCAAGCGGACACGAAGCTCGAGTGGGTTCCGCGACGCCACCTAATAAGCACCATGTGCCGTAGCGTGTTGCGGCTGACACCCATAGCATGCCTCTATTAAAAAGATCCGGTTCAACGTCCGCAGGCAAACGTGGGGCCAGTCCTCAACGCGTGTTTCTACGAGAACGCGTACAAGGGCGAGTCGCCCAGGACTCGGCACGAGACCCATTCGGGATGGAGACGCGGAGCGGAGGACCGGACCCTCACTCGAGACCACCGGGGAACCCGAGGGAGAATTTGATGGTCACCGAGTGAGTCACAGGGGGTTGGCAACGAGGCTTGCTTGCCTCGCTGGGCCAAGGCTTGGCCCCAGGCCGCACCACCCTGCCGCCACTACTGGCAGGCTCCAGACCTCCCACATGTCTGTTAGTTTAAGATATACGGATACACACCACGTACGATGCAGGAGAGTTTAACCCACCGGGGGAAAGCGCAGACTCAGCTCAGGGCATGTGTTTTTTTTGTATAAAGAGAGTGGGCTCTGTGCCAAGCCTGTTGCAAAAGCCTCCTTTCTCAGAAAGCAGAACTGAAGGGATCGAGCCTCCGGCTTCTGTTTCGGCTGTATTGGTGTCGCAAGGCTGGGCGCAGTTGCTCGATATGTGTTCCCAATTAAGGTTCCGGGCGTTACGGAGGGTTTTCGGATGAGGGTTGTTTTGTGTGCTGCAGGTCGTACGCTTGTTGATGACACGGAATGAGAAAGACGGGCGTGTTTGCTGCACAAGTTGAAAGGCTGGAAAAGGACCCTTGCTTTGACTGCCTATCCGATCCTTCTGAAGGCTAAAAAGTTGCTTTCCATGCGCGGTTATGCTCGGAATGCTTAGGATAGGAATATGGTACGTGGGGATTACAGTCATGGGGAAACCTTGTCTGCCGGGCACCCCCTCACTCCACCCCCCCGCTGAGGACCCCGAGTGGTTAGTTTGGCCAGATGGCCTTGCTCTGGGGGATATACATAGGTAATAGGTACTTGTTGGCACGGACGCCATGGCCAAATCCCGCTGCTGGACCATGGATCACCAGCCTTGAAAGCCACATGTTCCGAGATCACAAATGACCTGTAAGCCTCCGGCCAAATGATAAAATATTGTATCGGTCGGAATCTGAGTGACCCGCTTTGCGCAATCTGCCAGGGTTCATGGGTGGTTGCACACGCTGTCGTGTGTGGCTCGTAGACACGACTCCTCCTTTTTGCCGAGTGCGTGTGTGGGATGTAAGCCTCCATTTTGTGCGATCTGAACCGGTCAGCCCATCAGGTTGATTGAGTCCTTATCGACTTTTTTTTTTCTTTTTTTCATAAGGATGGGGGACTGGAAATCGCTCCAAATCTTTCTTCATCCTTGACAATAGCCCCCCGTCCTCGGCGAGACATTGGTTGGTAGGGCGTCGTAGCATATCCCTCCCTAGGATCTCCAGCCTCGATGAACGAATGAGTCTCAGGAAGTCGATTGACGAACGAACAGACCGGAGAAATAAAGAATAGTAACCGTCTTTCCTTGTTGAGAACACAATGGCTCGTGTATACGTTGACTTTGCGACTGTTTCCTCGTCAGAAACAGACAGCAACGCCCCCTCCCCCCCCCCCCTTTCCTTTCCCCGTGGTGTCTCTCCAACGCCAAGCTTTCCCAAGAACCACGCAGCTGCGTTGCAAGAGCCCCGTAAAACACTCTATTGGACGGTGGGACAACCGTCAACTGTCGTATCGGAAGTCTTCCTGGCAGGTAACCCCTTCCGTTGGGGTGGCCCCGTCGCCAGGGTTTGGGGCCGCTTTCGGTCCAATCGATTCGGCCGTCTTTCTGACTTGGCGCACCCTCTTACTTCTGCAACTCCCAACGAATTTGACCATGATTCGTCACCGTGCACTGAAGTCTCCGTCTCTGGCACCAGTAGATTCGAGTTAGGCCGGAGATGATCTCACTTGTCTTAAAAACAGAACCAACACATGTCATGGGAAGCCTGTTCCGTACGGTGATTTTGTCACTTTTGCGCGGACGGAGCCCTTCGAGCTCCTTCACTCTGTAACAATATGGAGTGTATGCTGACTGACCACTGGGAGAATCAGGTTCAGGGCCACGGGTGATCAACCGCCATGCCCCGCAAGAATTTGATGCTGCTCTTCCTGCACCTGTCGAGGCGGTCACTGAGACATTGCTAACAAGCCTACCAGATAAACCCATGCCATTGATGGACGCAAGGCGCCATTGCGGGTCATCCATGAGCTGACAGGTGTCACAATCAGCCTCGGATCCAGGCCTGGCGACAGTCCTCATGGAACCTCATTGCCGGCATATACCGCTCCTTTGGTAGGAACGGCATACACGGTGGCAGGCATCGTCATCGTCATGGTATCGGCATGTCTTGCTGATAGCCGTGTCTATTTCCATTCTGGCTCGTTACTCCAGCGAGGAAGTGCCTTGAAATCTAGGTCGCCCAAGACAATGTAGCGCTGGTATCTGTTCAAAGGCTAAGCGCTTGAAGCTATCCGTCTAGTTTCAGGACTCCGCATCAGAGAGGACGGATAATTAGCAACGAAATACGAACAGTAGCTCCATGCTGACAAGCGGTACCTCCCAGAACGGCTGGCGCCAATCGGTGGGACGACACCGTTGGAGTAGGAGCCGTTCGTGGTGTCGCCGGATCGTATCAGCGGCCTATCTCCGCAACGGCTAATTGAGGAACACAGACCTATCTTGGGCTTCGAACCGCAGTGAGCCACCGGGTCTTGTCGTTTTCCCCGACTGGTCTGATCATGTCTATTGCTAAAGCAGTATAAAGATGGGTGCTGGATACCCGCTATCCATGTGATTAATGTTATCCTGAGAGAAGCCAAGCACGAAACTCCCAGCCCGTCCCTGAACTCAAAATTGAGAGGAGACGGCATGGGTAAACTCGTTCAAAGCTAAAGTACTTCAACTGATTCCGCTTGAGCAAGCTGTGGATCCTGGTGTAGCTAAATGTTCGGACTTGAGTTACTTGGCATCTGTCTCTTCCCTTCCCTTGCCTCGTGCAGTCATATGGTTGCAGATCGTCGCCGCGAGAAACAGATGGTGAAGATTCAGCCTGAACAAAATTCGCAATATTCGCATTATCCCGCCCAGTCTGCTTTTACATACCGCACAGGCACAGGTCAAGTGTGGTGACCAGTGGGCTGTGCTCTCAGATCGTCCCGCCCTTGCCAGTGGTCTACGGCACGGATACCTCCCATCGATCCAGTCCTGCCCAGACACTGCATGTCCTCGAGGGGCTGCATGGCAGAATATCTTAAAGAGTGAAAGGTCAAGGGCCCCATGGAGACAAACATCGGCTGCTCCCACAAGCCACTGTTCCGATACTCGGATGTACAGTGGAGTTGGGATTCCGCTGACGAATGACGTTGTTTTAATATAGGTAATACTGTACTCATTCGCGTAGTACCCAGCCCCCGTCTCCTCGCGGCTGGTGATTGACAAATGCCTGGTCAGCTGGTCTTGCTGTTGTGGTTACCACATTCCCGTTCGTGACTGACTCTTACGATGATGTAGAGGGTGGAGGCTCGGGATACCTACCAGAAGAGTGCATGGCATATCGATACCTGCGATCGCAGTTGACTTTTGATACTCCAACTCTGAAGATGATGTTTGTTTCACACCGTCTTGACAGAAGTCTGCCCATAGGCACGAAGTCAATATCGGGTGAGGTTACAAGTGTTAGCAGATGAATGCGGCTTGTGAGTTACAACAGCAACAGCGAGAGGCCGGTACAAGTTCTCGCCCTTCACTTCGTGGTCTGTCCGCTCACCATTATCCTCTCTTGACACCTTGGCATGAAAGAGCTGGCAGGCATGGGCGATGGATAGGGGAGGAAGCAAAAGGGCACAAGTGATAAAAGAGATGGCGACGCTTCGAGAGACTAGGTTTCCAATCCATGGCCTGCTAGAGGGCGGATTGGACGATTCTCAATCGCCTTTGGACGCTTGAGTCTCGGATGCCGACTTCCAAAGTATGGTATTGGTGTAAGATAGAGTCTCTTGCGAGCAATGGTGGTTGAGACGAAAACGATGGTATAAAATGAGCCCAGAGCCTGTACCTATATCAGCGGACGGAAGCGAGACGGCGGACCAAGACGGCGGCGGACCAATGGTGTCGAGTTGCTCGGCTGGCGAGGTAGGAAGTGTTGTAAAGACTGTAGTGGTGTTTGCAGATCTCTTCAAGCTGTCTGGGGAGCCTCCCGTTGATTCAATACCTAGCCGGTCGTTGTCAGGGTAGCATGGGCATGGTGGGCAGTTGCAGGGTAGCGATGTGAGGAAACCTTTTGTCACCTCGCAGACTTCGAAGAGGGGACGTCTCGTGTGCAGCAGCCCGCAACCGCGAACATGGAGCAAGGCTCATCATGGAAGGGCTTCCCAAAGCGGACAGGCGCAATTCGGCCAGCGGCTTCAACGTTTAGGATGGTGGGGAGGAGGGGGTGAAGAGACGCTAGGGCTGCATTGGGCAAAGGGAGGTCTTGTCGCAGTGCAGCTCTGTCGCCCTGTCTTGGGTGGCACCAGTCGAGGTCGAGGTCGAGGTCGAGGTCGACGAAAAGGTTGAGGACTCGCAGTACGACAGCGATCATCGAAAGCCATTCCAAGAAATCAAATCAAGCCGCACGGCACTTGGCGGAGGATAGGGGTTTATC